TTAATCCGCCAAGAAAGCGGCGGCGATGGCCGTATGTAATTAAATAATGAGATCGCCGGCGATGTATCTTGCGCGCTTTATTGCAGTTTTTATCGATCCTCCGCTCGCATTTTACGTCTGTGTTGAAGCAGCAGGGATGCATCGCGGTTCTCGTTTCGAGGACTTTGAGCTGGCGGGAAACCTAAGGGCGATGTCTCAAATCGTCGTGCATCTTTAAAGATATTTTTGAATTTCTTATTTTTATTTTCCATATTTTTTAAATATAAAAAATATTTCTTATTATTCTTTTATTAAATAATAATTATGAGAAGCCAATAAAATGATCATAAAAGTTTTTTTAGTATTAAATATTAAATGTTATAGATTGAGAGAATACAAGCGAGTAGATATTGTTGAAAGATTATAAATTAATACAATTAATATGTACGATTATAAATTAATACAATTAATATGTACGATAATAAAAAGCAGGTCAGCAGATACAATTGATGGCTGACCATGTTCGACTTTAACTACTGCATCTTTTTATGATGTTTTCGTATTTTATTTATGCGAAACTATAATTTCTATTGATTTTTTGCAAAAATTAATGCATTAATAATAAGAAGACTTATTACATTTTCGTTTTAATAAAAATTCAATTCAAATTCTCGAAGATGTCGGCTGCGTCACGTGCTCGCTATGATCATAAATAGAAGCAGCAGCTGCTCCAAAGTCATCGTAATGGAGGTCAGTGCTGCTTCCAAAGATCGCGAAGAAAATTAACTTCGACGTGCGCGATAACGTAATTTAAGATTCTTTGATTAATTCAATTAGGTAATCCGATAGTTTCTTCGATAGAATTTTGGCGCTCACGACGGTGGCTTTACAGCTCAGAGATGGAGACCTATAGTGATAGTGATTCTGAGGAGGTCAGTGGCAAAGTCGTGATGAATCGTTCTTGTAGATGAGTCGTATTTTGCAACTAAACTTATTAAATAAAGCCGTTGGTCTACTGTTGACATAAACATTTTTTCTCAAGATAATAACTGTCTGATCGGTGAAAGGATGACCGGATGTAACTATTGATTCTACTAAATTATATTAGGTTTTTATCTTTATTTTTAATTTTTTTATGCAAATATAATCACTCTTCATTGAATTTTCTAGTTGAATTTTCTAAATTTCGTTGATAAAGTCTAATATTTTTATATCAATAAAATACGTACTCAAGAAGCAAAAAATAACCATTTTTTTTCTAGTTCAACTCGGAACGACTGACAAAGGAAATCCTCGTAAATTTAAAAGCGGAGATTAGTCGACGCGAGTTCCGGATTCGTGACGAACGCAACCGAAAATAACGCGATCGTCGGCCAAAAATAGCAGGGAAAAACGAGAGAGATGCTCGCGATTTCCGCGATTGAATTGACGATTCATTCGTTATTCTAACATTAAACGTTTTAATATCTCTTTGATCGCATCGTCGATATTTCGGTCAGTCCCAGACGGTTAAAGACGGGGAATGCAAAACAAAACGTCAAATTCGAGACCGATCGAGATATTTAAATCTGCATTCCAAATTGGGATCCTCTCAATAACCCAGGAATGTAAACAAGATTTTGCGAATTTGACAACTCGTGGATACTTCCTGGTTTCCACTTTTAGCCTAGCGTGCACGTTAACGACACATTTAATAGATGTTCTATTTTATCCAGGTCGATCGTTACGTCAAGGCAACCCGCTTTCTTTAATCCTTTGTGTAGCGACGAGACACTTATGAGTCTCTTACATAGTGTTATCTTTATTTATAATTAAATTATTATAGAGTCTTATGTATGTATTTTCTTACGTTACATGCGTCTAATACATAAATTTAAGAAAATAAGTAAAAAAATATTAGAAGTATTTATAATACTATAAATACCGAATCTCTATAACGAAAGTAATTAAAATTGACAGAAATTCTCTCTTAATTTAGCTTTGTTAAAATTACTGAAATTACTTTGAAGATAGACTTTGAAGTTCTTAGAATGTCAAATATTATATTTTGAACTGAAAAAAAAACATCGCGTTCAGCGAGATCATTTAATCATGACTAGAAAATAAGGAACTCATCCTTTTTATGTGTATTTGATGACTTAACTTGTGTTTTCTCTCGCAAGTTTCTTTTGATGATTAATATTTTAAGAAGAATATATCAGTTTTTTTACTTCATCAATGAATAATGAACATTACATAATATATATTCTGTCGTAAAAGTACTGATTAAAAAGTTTAAGAGCTTGCGATGCGATAAAACGATACACTTATCTTTTTCGACCTCATATAATTTCTTTGTCTTCAAGGTAACTATTTTATTTATGTGTTGTTGATGGTTAATTTTTAGAAATTTTTTTTCTATAACATATCAAGATCTTCTGGAAGAAGAAAAGCCAAACAAGAGAACTCCATCAGATATATTGAAATTTTAAAAAAGATAAAAGCGAAGATAGACGAATTGTTAGTCGCGTGAAATATACCGGCTGTGACTAATAAAACGCGAGTGCCAAATATCTCGAGTTAGTGACGGGGAAAAGACTCGAATGCCGACACCCACGTGTCGTTGACATCGGTCAATGGCGCGTGCATTTACGTTAACGCACGTGCGTCAAAGTTTCACGCGTGGCCTTTCGACGTGCGATTGTACAGAAAAGCCACGTAAATTTCCTTAAATTAACTATATTATCTTTGACTCTCGCGTATTATTCCATTATTGCGGATGCAATAGTGAGAGACGCTTCATTAAATTCTTAAATTACTTATCGCTATACCAGATGTCTAGATAATTCAGGAAATAACTTGATGTCATGCATGCGATCTTCTGACTTTAATTTGGCCCCGATTACATCAGTTCGTCAACGCGGATTCGCTTAATTACTTCGAAATTTGCGATGTGCCAAAAACGAGTTGCGTATCTTATCGGTTGGAGATTGCTTTATGATGGTTTTGAATGCCTATCACAGAATAGCATCGTATTTAAATTTAGATGACGTTGATCATGATCTCTAAAAGAGGGAACGAGCGATTCCATGTAAGACGCTGTTACTAATATTCAGAAGAAATAATAAACTATAGATGTATGGCAGCTTCCTGCAGCAAATAGGAGCATTTAAATGTGTTTTGCGGGGAAAATTCCTCTAAAGTTTATCACCTGACTGTGTTTATGAGGATAACTTTGCAGTTTCATTGAGAGACATCGCTACCATAAATTCCAGCATTCTATTTCCGTTATGTCCTACGAATTCACCCTCATCTTCTACTTATTTATGGCAAGCACGTGGCTGACTTCCGATCTTGTACGTTGTCTTACGATAGTCTCATTGCATTATTCCAGTAAATTTTGCTTTATTGCACTTCTGATATGAGTTTCCGTTACAAAGAAAACAAAAGACTTCACTATATCACATCACGAGGGTCATCGGTAAGATAATTTATAGAATCCTCTGCGCGATGATCGTTATATGTACGGTTTCTGGAACTTTTAACAGTGTATTTAAAACTCTGAATCTAAATTTGACTCAAAAATTTCAGTTATTCGAAGATCGAGTCTTTTCGTTCGATTCTATAAATAGCAAGAATTGAAAGAAATTGTCGATTTATTTTATTGTTCAAATTTGCTAAAATTTTTAAGGAAATTATTTTCTTCGGGGAAAGAAAAGAAGAGGAAATTTCATTATGAATGCACATTTTCGGCGATTAAAGATGACGTTTTAATTTGTTGATGAGTGCAAAAACAAATTTAATGTCGAAATATATTCCCTGAATGCTAAGAATGTGATGTCATAAACATTAACTTGTTGAAGCTCCTTTCATAACTAACTGCGATGTTTGCGCGCAGTTAATACTTCATAAAACGAAAAAAAAAAAACGATTTGCGTAATAAATTCCACGAAATATAATTTAATTTGTATGAATAATATCGCAGAAATTTTGAGTTGTGGCGCTATTATTATTAAAAATATAATTTTGTAAATTATAACTGCTTCTTTTGTAAATCTTCAGTTACATTTTTAACTTATTTTATATTAATTTTTATAAAATAATAATTGAAACGTTTAGATGTAACGTTTAGATGTAACGTTTAGATGCATATTCTGCCAAATGAAAACAGAATTTGCCGTGATAATGAAATAGCACGTGACTTCGACAGACATTATGTAAAGCAGCGTTGACAGTCACGCACAGAGGGGATGATGAGCGGGAGGGAGGGGCACAACTTATTCGATTCTTATAAATGAACTCGCAGAAAACTGTTTGTATATTAATGTAAATCATCCTATATCCGGATTTATGCGCGTCCACACGCCAACTCGTATATTGTCAATCTGTCAGTGACAAATTGTCGCTGATGCTTCCTCGCAGATGGTTAATTTAGGACATCAAATTCACGCCTTACCGTCAAATACTCGTTGCACATCTCATATCTTCTTGCCAGATGTACTCAAGTGGCTTGAATGATTACGATTGTCACGTGAAGATTAATTTCGATAATTTCGATAAGTAATAATTCAGCATGTAAATGAAACATAGTAATTATTCATATGAAATTTTATTTAAGAATAAATTTTCAAAATTTTTAAAATTTTTGTTAATAAGATAATAAAAAAACATCTAGATTACATTAATTAAATAAAATAAGTCTGAATCAAAATTCCAGAGTCAAGTTTTCAATTTTTGAAATTATGCCTTCTGAACAGTTAAAGATTTATGGCAACGAAGTGATATTCCCTGGAAATGTTAGGATCTGTTTCTTGTAAATATATCGTCAAGCGTTTATCAGATAAATAAACGAAAGAAGAGAAATTCGCTTGCGAATTAATTCCCGAAAGCAGAACATGAATGAATCCGCGGGCCAGCTGGGTCGCAGCATTTGAGGAATTATCACTTCCGGAGCGCGCAGGGTCGTCTGGCAACCAATCAAGAGTCCGGGAATCGTCTCGGAAATGCGGCAAATATTTCGGCCCGAGCCGAAATATCGAAAGGTGGGAGCCTTTCGGTTTCTTATAAAAAGAGACGCGCGACGTCGCGACGTCGTATTCACACCGGTGGTGGACGAGCAAAAACGTCATACTCGATCTCGGAAAATCGAAGGGTGAAGCATACAGTGTCGTTTTAAAATAAATTTTATCATTTAATAGATAAAATATCCTTTCTTAAGTTTTTTTAAGACATTGGTTTTATTTTGTAAAACTTTGTTGGATTAAAATTAAAGCTGCAATGTCTTCGGCGATGTATGTAAGTATTAGTGAAGTTTTTCAGTTACACAACTAGAATTATCTATTAATCAATGGAATTATCAATAGAATAATCAGTAGAATTATTAATTAATAATAAATATCCTGAAACATACGAAATCAAATGGAATTTTCAAATAGGGGGATAAATATGAATGGAAAAATATTTTAAATTGAAAATAAAAGAGTAAGAAAATTATAAAAATGTAAATGGATATCATAATTTTTTCACAAGCATTATGCGCGTAATTGTTAAGATCACATTTAAAAGAATATATTTAAAAGAATATATAATTTTAATATTTAATAAATAAAGTGCAATTTAAAAACAAAATGCAATTTGTCTTAAAAGAGTGACATTTCCAGATTAGATTTAGGTTTTTTTCCTAAAGTGGTAAGATAGCTAAAGTTCAGTTTTTGAAACGAATAGGGAGATATGAATACGTACATTTGTCAAGATGCCACTAAGACATCATTTATGGTCAGGGTCAATGCATATGTTCAGATTGGCAAAATTCCAAAAATTCCTGGCTTATTAGGCGTCGAGTGACTTAATCCATTGACGTCTGCGTAGTTTAATATGCAGCTTTTTTTTCCAAATGACTCAAAGTTAAAGGTTTTCAGGGAATTTACATTCTTATGTATTCCTTTTTTTCTTTTTTAAATTTCAATTATATAGAATTGTATAGAATTATTCTTTACGCGAATTTGCAAAGTAAACTAAAATGTACTAAATTGACTAAAAATAAAGAATTAAAAATAAATGTATCTTTGTACCACTTTTGAAGGAATCCTTGGGTGCCAAGGTTGCCATGTTCAATCAATATGCCAGCAAACACAAAGACAAGCAGAGCAAAAATCCATTCACATCTGGTTTAAACATTGAAAAACCAACATTCTCCAAAGAGGAATACGGCAGGTACTTAAAATTTAATTAGATTTGCCATTTGATGAGAATTTTGTTTTTTAATGCGACATGTAATTCCATCAATACTATTTACAATTTAACCGTGATATTATTATTGATTCGCTTCAGACCAGAAGCAGGTTCCTTATCGGATTTGCGTGGTCGCAAAGCGAATGATGATATATTGAAAGAAATTCTGGAGCTTTGCGAAATTATTAGTCAGGAAGGTACACCCTGTCGGGATCAACCTGACGTAATTGGCATCACGTTTGGTGACATCTTCAATATTTATACTAATATTAGTAGTAAATGCGTTGGCCTATTATTGAGAGCGAGGAAGCAGAAGTATTTAGAATTCGAAGGCGAATGCCTTTTCCAGGTAAATTGGCTTGAGAGTGAAATAATATTCTTATGTTTATAGATATAGATTTTTCAAAATCTAATTATTACGAATGTATCGTCGAGGATTAAACTTGAAAAATACATTGATAATTAATAATTAATGTGTTATGCCGTTAATATTTATGTTACATTGTATTATATAACATAAATTCGATTTTTTTCCGCAGAGGAGAGACGACGACGTGCCGATATTTTTAGTCAAGCCCATCGAGGAAATTCGTAAGGAGTATAATCAGCGACTGGAAGAAACCCGGAAGAATTTACTGGACAGTTAATGTAAATGATAGAAAATTAATAATTATATAATAATTATTATCTAATTATTAAATAATTATTATTTTCTAATTCTATTAATATTATCTATCCTCGAAAGAACATTCGCAGTCTGTATTTATTCGCCTATATTTTATAGTAACACAAATGACCATTGTATAATATACGATTTGTTGTATTCTTCTCGTTTCTTCTCGGATTTTATACAAGAATGAGTGGAAATCGATGATATTAAGAATGGATGAATGTAAATGGATGTAAATATTTCAGGAATAGTGCAAATGAGATATGTTAATGCGATAAAATGATCAGTACGATTAATACAATTTTTATGGAACATCTCTTTGAGACAGTCATCTTTGTATAAATATAGCGCGTAATAAATAATTAATACATCTTACATATATCTCTCACTTCATCTCTCTTAAAGACATTTCGATATATAGTTTGTACATCTCGCATATCTTTTTTATTCAAACAAGATTAAACCCTAGCATGTATTTCTCTTTTCAAGCTAAACAATTTCACGTAGGAGCAGATTTTCGAGGAGGAAAGGAAAAGACGTGTGAAGCAAAGAGCAGGTAATCGCATAATTTATATTTGTATATACAGTCACTTTACAACGCGCACTTTGTTACACAGTGTAGCTCGATTACTTTAGGTCAGCGAACGCCAGGTGTGTGATCTCGGTAAAGACGATATCAAAGTAAAAAAGAAACTAATTAATAAGAGGGGCGCCTCGTGGCGTGCATCTCTCGCGTGGAAAAGACGACGCTGAAACGAGTATTTAATGTCCGTCCGAGCGGAAGCTTCTCGATAAGCCTCCTTAACGTGACATCAGGACAGACTAAGAGGCCTCGTATTTTCACCGCGCATTTAATGCAGGTGCTTGAGCCTCGCTTCAAAGCTCTTGCGTCGGTCTGGGAAAAGTTTAGAATCGCGAACTCGAAGCGTTTATGCTCCTTAATGTACTGGCAAAAGTTGTGGCACTTTGGCACCAAACGAGCGATGAGAATAGAAGACCGAATCTTTCGCATGTTCAAAGGCAGCAAGTTCGATACAGCACTCGATGATACGTGAATACTTCGATCGTCAAAACGTGTACATACACACTCCTTCCAAGAAAAAACATCGATCGTATAGGGTCTCTATTTCTATATTGGCAGTAGCGTTAGTCATTTATTGCAACGGAAGCTAATTTCCTTCTTTTTACTCGCGCTTCCCTTTGACTCGTTCAAGATGACAATTTTATTTTTTACCAAAAGCATTTCAAAGAACTATATATTTTTGCAATATAGCTCTCTGCAATTAAATAAGTCCAATAAGAGAAATATATGAATAAAAAATAAAAGTATTTCTTGTTGGAGGATATAAAAAGTATTTAAATATTCAATTTGCATCGAGTCTCGAGAAGCGCAAATACACTTTACCTTCATTCCTCTTTTTTTGTCATTTTTATTTACGAATATGAGCAAGAAATGTAGTAGAGTAAGATATTCAACAATTGCTTTCCTTTGTCCCGTTTCTTTGTTGCCGTTCGCGGGACTTTGCGTTAAATTGGTGCATTTCGATATGTCAACGATAGGACAAACGGGAAGGGTAAAAAACTTTCCAAAAGACAAAAATTCGCGTATCGAAAACGGGGACGGGAGGGGGAGACGAGAGAGGATATGTATGCAAAGATTGCGCACGATTATTATTCGCGTTGCCCATGGAATATGATTCTCTCTGGGACAGCGATCGTAATCGATCGATATGTCGTAGAAATATATCGCGTTTCGCAATTTTAATTAACAATAAGTCGTGACGTAAATATCATGACGTAAAATGGACAAAATTTTCGGCATCTTTAACAATAATATGTCTTATATATTACGATATACTCTTGCAATTCGTTTCGTTTCGGAGATTTCTTTAATACATCTTATTGCATTTTATACCAATTCTCGGTTTTTCACGAAGCTGGAACCATGAAATACACATATAAAGCATATTTAAATATAAATTAAAGAAATCCGACGATGTGCGCCGCAATTTCACGTAAGCGTATTTTCCAAGCCGCGCATTGACATTTCACACTTAGCGTCAAAAAGAAAATGGTTATTTCGAATTATATTTTTCTACTACATTTTTCTAAAGACAATCTTTTTTCTTCGAGAAATGGACCTACTTAGCAAAATGTAGGATGTCAGTACGGGGCCGAAATAAGGCTTGATTCACACTATCAGGGACGGATTAATTTGGATTGACATTGCATTCTCAGAAAAGCTACTTGTCTTTAAGATACTCATAGGAAAATAATTTTATCTTCTAACTTATAATGTTATTTCTTAAATATTATTTCTATTATCATATGTTACTTATACTTAATTATACAATTAATATTATAATAATTTTAAATCAAGCGATACATCAGCTAAATATTTTAGTTACTCGATATATTAAAGAATTTTTATAATTTTACAATATAATTTTACTTTTATCGTCTGTATCTAAAATATAAATATTAATATAAATTTAATTAAATTATCATCTTAAGAAATAAAAAGAAACCTATGCAAGTCTTACATTATAAAGTACAAGTCTCGTTATATATTATACATGTAATTTAAAATTATTTATATAGATTTCTAATTACATACAAAAAAAGTAAAATATATTTTTGTATCTAAATCATATTTATCAATTTAAGGTTTTTTTTAGATTAAATTCTCGAGATTGAAATGGAACATGACACATTATGAAACTTTACGAGCCCATAGTTTGAATCAAGCCTTTCATACATTGTTTCCGGAGATGTTTATAACGAACGATCTATGCAATCAATACGTTGCGATTATGGACGTTACGAAACTTTATCGATTGTTTGACGCTTCTTCTTGCAGAAGCGAGAAATCGTTGTTTCCTCATGTGTAACTATTATAGCATTCGCTAATATTCGACTATATTATGATCACTACGGTACTAGCATTCTTTAGATCGAGTTACATTAAGTTTGATTACCAACAGCGTGATTTTGTCCCGAAGATTTTCCGGTTGACGTGTATAAATGTGTGTGTGTGTGTTCACTTTTTGTTTTATTAAATTATCTTTTCAATGTTTCGTAATATTATACAATATATGTATAATATTGATCTCATTATTTCGCGTCTGATCATATGTTTGCATTTTCTACTGCGCATTCTTAAGTTTACGCGTTTGATAACTCATTCTTTTTAACGCACATTCTCATCTCTTTTACAAATTTTATTTTTCTTCGGGATTCGATGCTGTTGGTAATCGTAATAATATGACGCTTGTAGCGATCGCAATCGCAACCAGTGACTAAAATGGATTACAGTCTCAGGTGGTAGGAAACAGCGAAATATTCGACGATGTCTGTCAATGCTACGTTAGCAAGGATTTTGTAGAAATACGCGTGATCAAACATACAACTGCCAATTCGGTATGCAACTCGGTATTTCTCGAAGGGCCCCTCGCAACAATCTTATTTTCGACGTTTACGTGACCGGAAGGAAACGTTTCCGTTCGCGCTTACATATTGCCGATGATAATCACGTAAATATCCCCATAACCGCCGAACGTTCCCAGTCTGTCCTGTCGTGGCTATTTCGAATTATTATCCGTCTTGTCTGCGAGAATTATGTGATCGAAAACGAAAGACTTTTCCGTGTCGTATATTTCTACAAATTTTTCAAAGCATATGAAAAAAAGAATTAATTGCAAGGTACATTCTTTATGAATCTCTTAAACAATTTTTTTGGTTGTCATCCTTACGATTTCGTTTACGAAACGAATTTTGTTCCGTGTACATTTTATTTCGCTCACTAAAACGGACAAAGATGGAAACGTTTGACGGCTTTTAAATTATTATCAACAACGGGGTTGCGTAGGAGATAATAAATTTACAATTAACTTAGGCTTTCAGCTAATCCATCCAAAGGGAAGAACACGGCCGTATCATTAGTTCGACGTGCGTGTGTTCATTTTGTATGTATGTGTATGTACATACATACATACATATACATATATATGTATGTACATATATACATACATATACATACATATGTATCCATATGCATGCATATGTAATATATACGCTCTCTCGAGATCACGCGAAAAATAAATGATGCACATTGCGAGCATCGTTCGAAGGCTAATCCGTGAATTAGTTATAATAATTAGGTCGTGTTACGATGATTTTTAGGTCCGGTTATAAGTATATAGTACACTCTCTAGAACGAATAATTAATTCGTTATTTAGCAGTACGTGGAAATTATTTACAGGTCACTTGCGCAAAAGTGTTTCACGCATCTGCTCGCCTTCGTCGCTCATGCACGCCTTGGATTATGCGGATTCAAGTTAACTACTTGAGATCGGTTACACCGATCGCGAGCTTCCACTGCTACGCGAAAAACTTTGCTTGTTGCCTTGTGTCATAACGCAAGCGTGCATAGACGTAACTTTGAAGAAAGTCCATTCGCGTTCAAATTTTGCTGGTAAGATTAATTTATTTCTTTTAAAATAATGTTTTCTTCTTTAAAATTGTGATCTTTGTTGGAATAAATTGAGGGAATTAATAGTTTATTTATCAGTTTGATTGGTCGAATTGTGCGATAAATAATTATAATAATGTAATTAAAAATTCAATGTACATAAATTATAATATCAACGGATTTTAGTATTATGTATAAGAAATACAAACAATATATTTTCTAAGAATTAAAGAAGATATCTATCCTTTATAAATGTAAATAATTATTGTATACTTTAGAATAATATTTTTAAATTAATTTAATTTAATTTGACTCATTACTTTTACATTAAATTTAAATAATTATTGTTCTCTTTTCCATAGAATAAGATAAATGAACTTATGCGTAAACACCATATTACTTTTAAATCCATAATTGGCGAGATCTGAACGTTCACGGACTGCACTTATGTCATTAGCGTCTACTTAAAAATTTTAACCCCGGTTTCCGTCCATCAAATGGAATGTAGACTTTTCTTATATGTATATAAGTCTGTATATATATATATATATATATATATATATATATATATAATATATAATATATTTATTCTCTTGCGCACTTTTGTAAAAAGCCTCCCCTATCTAAAAACAATGTATCGTGTGAATTTGTCTACTACTGGCAATAAATCAACAAGTCCTTTAAAATACATCTTTCTCCTATTCTGGAAAATTCACGGTCATTTTAAATCTCTCTACCGAACATTCAAACATAACACCGATTTATCGTTTATTCTTCTTTCTTCCTTTCTTCATTTTTCTATTTCTCTTTTTTCACCGTCCGTTCGCGTTCGCTTTAATCAGTCTTGGCATTGTAAAACGTTTAGATGTGCAGTACAACTTATAAGTACAGATTCTATAACACGACGGTCACTTCATAAGCGACCTCGCTTCTCTTTTCGCTAAATTCGCTAAATGTGCGCGCACGCACACATCCGCCACATACGCGTATACAGATAGATTCATACATATATATATATGTGTATATATATGTATTCATATGTATATTAATCTCGTACCTTAAAAATATATTATTGTCTTTCGATGAGAATGTAGCACTTAGTTCACCGTTTGTTTCATTTTCCCCTCCATCCGTGCGACGACGATCCCGATGATTGATTCTGATGATTGATCTCCGGATGATAACGTGAAATAATCGCGAGACGATCGATCCTTGTAGCTTTCCTCTATGGTTAAGCCTCGATATTTGTGGTCAGCTCGAAGAATAACGAGTGATTGAATACTGCGCCACTAGACTCAGAGTACTTTTTTCTAATCCCTTATTTCTTATTTATTGGATGGCCCTATGAGAGAAAGCAGTACTCAAGAAGTTCCTAAAATTCACCGGTAAAAATTCTAATAGCGTCCGCATATTTCACACGCGATAACGATAGAATCATTGAAACTCTTCGGTAGCGTAGCGTCTCCTTAAGACATGCGGCATCTTAAAATGGAAGTTCTTGGTTCTCATTCTGGCTCTGGCTTCTCGTTCAGACTTTTTAAACGAATAATACCACTACTAGGCATAATTCTAGGTTTATTCCAATCCTTATCATTTTAATGACATATCATTGTTAAATTTAAAACTGGAGATCCTTTAATCCAGTTTCTTTTTCGGGTTTAAGCCCCGTTTTCCCAAAAATATCTCAAAAATCTTTCTTGGAAATTGTAATCAATTCTTTAATTTCAATCTGAAACTCTGACTTTGTTACCGTAATCATCGCACAGAAAATGCAATACCAGGCTTCTGAACAAAATGTCTGATTTGCATTTTTATGTGAGAATTTTCTCCAAAGATATAGTGTTAAAAATCAGGCCTTAATCTTTTCCGAGAGGCGCTCATCGAGGACTATTTGGATGTGATCCAAGTCTTCGTACAACTCTGGCAGGAATCAACATGTCGCAATCGGATCGGATTGAACACGATTCTTTTATATTTTATCTCGATCGTTTCTCGTTATACTTCACGTTCAGTTTATTAATTCGCTATGGGAAAAGCAGGAACGCTCACTGAGTCTTCAATGGGGTTCTGTCATCGGAATTCGTTATGTTTATCGTTGTCGGCATTTAGGCGATCTTCGATCTTAGCCCGACGTGATGCATCTCTTATTATTTTTACGAAGGTTCGCGCTCAAATCGTGCGATTAATTCGCTCGTCGTCGTCAGGTCGACGGGGTTCTTTAATGTCGACGTCGCGTTGACGATCGTCGAACTTGGGGTTCGTTATCATACGTCGTTATCGTGGCAGAAATCGATCTTTCGTCTGGCCAGTGGCAATCGTCGTTTGTCGACGATGAAATCCGTAACGCAGCCCTTGATGCCGGGATGACCGGGTTTGCCGCCGACGAAGAGCTTGCCGTTGGTCGTCAACAACGTCGTTTCCATCGAAACCTTGACCGGAATGTGCTCGTCGATTTGGAGCGTACAAGCTTTCCGTCGTCGAGTCGCTCGGATGTGGTGGAAGACTCCGTCGTCCACTCTTTCCTGCAATTATATTCGTGCAGAGAAATTCATGTCAAAATTTATGAAAAATAAGCATATCAATTCTTACAAAACAAGTTTATTTTCAAAACAGTTAATTTATTATAGTGTAGAAGAAAAACGTGTGTTTTTACGAAATTATCAAGCTTTATTTGCTCACGCAGAGTATTTTTATATACATTCTAGTAGAAACAGCTTACGGATAATATTTTTATTAAAAATTGATATTATTATTCCATACATTATTTATTTTGACAAATATAACTGAATTTATCTTGTTAAATATAATTAAAAAAGAGTTTAATTGATATAATTTCTTCTAGAGATGTATGATACACACAATTATTTATAAATTTAAGAATTAACGGAAGCGAAAACAAAAAATTGAAAAAATAACGAAGTGATTCATCAAATCAATATAATAACGTTATCTTACCTTGCTTTTTACGGATATATTTTCAATCTTGCTCTTATAAGTGAGCACTACGTGACCGTCGTACAAAGACAAAAAGAAGTGCTCCAACTTTCCTCTTCCCACCCACGCGATGAGGCCCTCGGGATGTACTGTTCTTAACCGTAACTCGAACTTGTTCGATTGTTGTCCCCTGCGTCTGAACAAACATGTCCATAATAGTAGTTATTCATTAATCCTAGATACATTCATGCCAATAATTCACACACTACGAATTTACATACAGTTTTCTACATCAATATACAATTAGATGGGAAAATTATTTAAAATAATAAAGATAAAAATCTTTCTTTTAATTTATTATTTGTTTTATTTATAATAAATTTATAATAAATTTTAATTTTTAAGTTTACTTAAATTTTATCTAAACAAAGAAAAATGGAATTCAATTATTACTAACATAACGTTTTTCGTCAATTGTTATAAGCAATAATTATAATTTTATATATAAAGTTAAAAATTAAAAATTATTGTCAGCAATAATGGAAAGAATTAATATAAGAAAGAAACTCCTGCCCGTCTAATTGTATCTTTAATTGCGACACTACATCATCTATGTCAGTTACATTCGCTGTTACACAATCAAACAATCTTTTCTATCTAAGATGGTTGCTAGGGATGTAATTAGGGATTGCGCCACAATTGCGCGAGGAAAATTAATCTATCCCTCAAACGAGTACACCATAGTCATCTTTCCATTAGAAAACTTACTCCGTGTAATCGTAAGTGTCGTATTCGTAGTCGACATCCTCCTCCAAGTCGTAGTCGGAGTAGGACTCCTCAAAGTACTCGCCGAGGGTAGTGTTAGTCGAGTTAGTACTATTTAATGGTTACATAATTAGAATCAGAAGGTTAGTGACATTAATCGTTAATAAGGAATGCTAATTAATCTACTCTCACTAGCGTCGACCGTTGCTAATTTCAAGTGCACCTAATCGAACATCACAGAGGATGTGCGCCATTGCAATCTAGAGTTCCGATTATTGATTCCTCGAAATTCAAAGAATGAAGATTACTCACCTTCTTCCGTAGCGGTGCTTGAATTGGAGGAAATTGTCACCTTCGAAACGCACAGGTCGCTCCGAAATCTCGGTACCGGACACGTCGTAACCCGTAACTGAAAAAAATATTTTTATCGGTTGTTTAATTATTATAGTTAATTATTAGACAAAATTCTCGCTCTTATAAAAATTGAAAATATTCATATGCATAAAGTTTTAGAAAAAATTTTGGCTGGTATATATTTGCTATCGTCATATATAAATAAATAAAAAATAAAAGAATCTGTAAGAGTAGAAAGTAAAAGAAATGTAGGCGGAAATGAGGGGAAAAAAACCTACAGTATTCGCAGTGCAGGCCGTTATAACCGTTGGCGCACTTGCAGAGATAACTGTTGAGAAGTGGAAGGCAGACTCCGCCATTATGGCAAGGATTCTCGTTGCTGGGACATGGTAGACCGTCGTAAATCTCTGTGTTGTGTTGAGTAATATTCACCGCGAGGTTCTGGTATGTTTTGCCGTTTACCATTAGTCTCTGCACGGCGCCTACCAATCCGGTCCAGGCTCCGGACAGACGATGAACTTCCCGCCAGTGTCTAAGAAAGCAATCGCAAATATCTCAGCTTTGGAATTATTTCTTAAACAATCGAATAAGCGATATAAATTACGTGTTATAAAATATAATTTAAAGTGTGATAGAAAAACATTGAAAACGGGAAACTATATATCACGGAAAAAATAAGATAATGTGACTGAAGTAGTAAAAAATAAGTCTAACTGAATAAAAATGTAAAACTTACTTGACCCCACCGACATAAAGCGGCATTTCCAGATTCAATTCCGTGAGAGGACTTCCGGATAATCCTCTAGCGACGATTCCATCGTCGAGCTGAAGTACTCCCTCTCTACCAAGTCTGCTGATTCTCACGCAATGCCAGATATCGCGACTGACTGGATCAGGCGATGTGATGTTCGCGATACCGCTCCCGAGATTGAATCTGAATTCGAGTCTACCGTGGATCAAGTTCAAACTTATGAAATCGCCCCTGCCGTTGTTCAACTGGCCGTTATAAAGCAGGAGACCGTCGTTCGCGCGAGTGAGGAACCACAGTTCGATGGAGAACGCTTTCGCGATGCCTTCCAGGCAAGGCAGCTCCAGATATCCGTTACCGTTCATCTCAGGAATCAGCAGTTCCGTCAATTCGGCGTCCACTAAAGTTGGTAAAATTTAAAATGATTTAAAACATTCTAAAAAATGCCGCGTTTTTAAAATAAAATTATATATGTATACATGTTTAAAAAATCGATATATCTTATTGTTAATAAAAAGATAAATATGTGCGTTTTTTGATAAGAGAAAAATTCCCAATTTTCTAAAATTTTCAAAACAACACACTTACGGATCTCACAGTGTTCGCCGGTTCTACCAGGAGGACACTTGCACACGTATCCTCCCTGCGGCAGGATGTCGCAGGTGGCACCATGCTGGCAAGGTTCATCGATGCAGGGATCCAGCGACTCTTCACAGTTCCTACCGGTGAACTGCGGCGGGCAAATGCATCTGTAGTCTGACGGCTCGTACTTCTCGACAGCGTAATTGCTATGGTCGTAATTGTTCTTGTACTTGAGCTCGTAATCGTAATTGCAATTGCCGGTGACGCAGTGTTTCTTCGCGTTCTTCTTGATCCTCGTTTTCTCGATTGACGTGCAATGGGAACCTCGGCATCTGACTATGTTCACTCCACCCTTGTTGCCTCGATTGTTCCTGCCTCTGCCTCTTTTTTGCAACCTCCTACATTCCCGGCCGTTGCACAGATCCTCCTCGAAGATCGGCTGGCATGTCGCGCCGTTTTGACAGGGCAAATTAGCGCACGCATTGTCACCGCACTCTTTCACGCGATAGCTCTCGAGAACGTCCTTGTCGCGACCCACGTGGAGATCCACGTTGATCCGATTGATCTTCAGTTTGCGTATGCAGCCGAGAAATCCATGGTTGGTACCGATGTTGTCGTAGACCCTGTTCGGAAAAATCGCAATGTTGCATCTTATCCTTAAGAGTCTCTAAAAGTGTTAATTAATTTCCTCCTTAATTTAATGAGGCAATATTCCCTGGCGCGAATATTACCTGGTGTAATTAGTCGGCATGTTTCCGATGAAAGTGTCTTGCTTCAGATCTAAAGACTTCAGAATTCCCAGACTCTCCCCGCCCACGTTTTCGCCATCGTTAAAGATCAGCACTCCGTCCTTGTGATATCTTTTAGCTGCCGCTCTATGGAACGTCTTCATAGTCACTCTTTCCGATGACGTGAGAATTACACGTCCGTTGCCCAAGTCATATCTGAATTGCACGTATCTGAGACACATTGAGATTATGAGTTTCATACATCAGATACATCCTAAATTTAATCAATAACAGAATTTTTATTTAATATATTTTTATTTAACCTATTTTTATTTATACTTTATTGTTTATATATTGTTAAAAGCAATTAAGTAATATTCATCATACTTTTATACAAAAGCAGAAACTGCTTTAATTTAAAGAGTGTAATGTATAATTAATCACTTTGGCAAGCTTCATTAAATAAAATTAGGTAAGATGGAAGAGATTCTGTGCAATATGCTTATTGACAATCTTCAAAGAGCATATTTTCAAGAGAAAGGATTACCGCGAAAAAAGATACCGACCCGTCGACAATAGCCAACGAAACAAAGTCACCGGTGCCGTCGCTCTTCTGCTGATTGTACAGTATGATTCCGTTGTCCGCGTACGTTTTGAATTCGACCTCGATGTTGAATTTGTGATATGCTTTCAGTCGGCTCATTCTGACGTAGCTTTTACCGTCAAAGGACGGTATCTCGTAATCTCGCTTGTTGATCTCCTCGTCGCACAGAAGTCCGGTATAATTTGGCCGGCAGCGGCAGAGGAAAGTTGCGCTGGGTAAGTCGATGCACGTCGCGGTCATGTGACAGGGATACGAGAGGCAGGCGCGAAATTCCTCGGTCGGTGTCACCGGCACGTAATTGGCTGACGACGGGGATTAAGCGTAAGTTAATTTTCTTCCAATTTACAGCAACGTTGATAATTTATCGCATGAGCGTCGAGTTTGTACAATCGATCGGATATTAATACAAGTTCGAGCAAATTATTATGATTTAAGTTTACTTGGGAAACTTTCTCAATTAACTCCCTCTTTCTTAAAATTCTAATTGTAATTATTATGATTAATTAATACCCGTCCGACTAATTTGAAATGAATGTTACTTTAATGAGAAACATTGATATATAAGATTTAATTCGCTAAATATCTTGCGATGAAAATTGAACTCGACTCACCGAAGCACTCCTGCCGATCGCTGGTTTCCGCGTAGCCCTCGGAACAGATGCAGCCGCCGTTCGAGCATTCGCTGTTAGGTATTGTGCAATCCTTGTCGTCGCTGCAAAGATCACCCAGAAGAGCGGTGACCACTCGAATCGTCGCTGGCGTCGGTCGATATGCCGCAGCTACTCCTATAAGAGTTAATCTCATCATTATTCACCACCAAGATATTTAAAAAGTTCAGACCAAATGTGTGTTTTATAGTTTTCGAACAAAGAAAAATAAATGTAAAATTATACATTAAAAAATTCCAGATTCAAATAAATTTATTTATGAGACTATCTTGGAATAATGGATATCATAATTTTATAGAATCGATGTCGAGCAGATGAACGGATATTGAATTACTTAGAATAAATAATTTTAGAATGAAATAATTTATTTTAGAATAAAACAAATTTCCAGTTTCAATTTTCAATTTTTTATCAAGTATTTTTTTCAAGTATTATTGTACCAAGTTTCCAGAGTTATAAGCGGTTGTAAAGCATTAATATTTTGATCGTGTTAATTCACAATTAACAGTACATTAATAAAATGTATCTGTACATTACATAAATTTGCACTTATCTATTAATCGTTTCAAAATGTACTTAATAAATCTTAATTATATAATCAATTTATATTAAATCTGTTTAAAATTTTTGACGGAAGAGACTAAAAGCTCGGGAGGGTTAGCGGCATTTCTCTAAAGACAGATTAAAATTTCTGACTGATTATTTTAATTTCTTGTAGCTCTCTTTTCATTTCTTTGAATAAAAAATACACTACTTGAGTAAAAAAAGAACTCGGGATGTTTTTTTATCATGTTTTAAATTAAGGGAATGTTTTTTACCATGTTTTAAATTATCTCTGTCGATGGTGATGGTCTCTTGATGAGCTCGATGAGTATAATAATATCGTGGGTCCGGCTCCGGTACCAAGAGATGCCGCGTGGATTTGGACAATGGAGAAATAGCAGCCGCTGGTTGGGTATATTGTACAGCTGTATATCTCTTAACGGGGAAGTCCGTGTTAACCATAGGGTCGTCTGAAAATATTCGTGAATTCCGGTTTTGCCATTATCTTTCTTTCCTTCCACCTTGCGTTCTCCGATTTATTTATCAGGACTTATAACCGAAAATACTTATTGCAAAAACGATTATTTATTAATAAGTGATTTCATTACTATGAACCGTGGAATTGATACAAGATTGATGCAATTATCAATGTGACTATTTAGAGATACATACTATTGCATTTACTTATATTTATTACTGTTTTAAAAGGGAAATTAAATTGAGCAGTTTCCGGTTTCTGCAAATATAAAATATTACAGTGATAATCAAATAAAAATCAATACAGTTAAAAAATCGGTTACTAGCCCTGATTTCAATTATGTTTAATCAGTTACGTTTGTATAAAAAAAAAATAAATTTTTATCATATATAACGTATGGCAACATTGTTAGTCGAACAGAATTCGCATGTTGTTGCTACATGTGTGTGTGTGTGTGTGTGTGTGTGTGTGTGTGTGTGTGTGAAATTCTATTATAAAATTATTAATTTTCCCTTATTAAAAGTTGTAACGATGAGGTTTTTGTGAGAGAGGTATATATGATCGTAAAATCGTAACAGACAAACGTTTCTCTCTGCTTGTGAGTTTCTGTTAATTAATTTTGAAATAAAATTCTCGTTCAGAGGGAGAAATTTGTAAAAATAATTAATTCATTAATTTCATTTTTAAAAGTGAAGCAAAGGGTATATTTTAGCGTTATAGAGAACAAAAACTTATGTTCTAAATATGGAATGATTTTTAAATATACACTCTTGATGGAGAAGTTGAATCTCGCGTGTCAAATTAAATATTCTTGTTCATTCTAATAAGAGTTTCGAGAGTTAATCTGTCCACGACTTTGAAAAAATATCGGTAGAAATATCATTGAAACCGTCCATTCGGCTTTTTGTACTGACTTAAGCGATCCTGGAAGCTACATCTGGGTGCTTTAAGAGAAACTTGAAAATCTTTCTTGAAACTCTCTCCTAATCTTTTCATTCACTGCTTCATATCTTCATTCTTTCTTATTTCTGTATAAATAATTTTCTTGAAGAAAATATAATTCTTTTTAGCACGATAAATAAATAAAATCCCTTATTTTTGAGCTTTCTAAGAGACCTTTATTTTTTCCTTAAATTATAGAAATCTTTCACGAAATATAAATATTTAATTAATTAATCGAACGATTGCATTCCGATTCATCTTTTCGTTTGGTATATATAAATATTTAATTCACTATTCGACTTATTGCGTTCCGACTCGCTTTTTTATTCGATATATATAAATATTACACTTAAGTGTGAGTCCAAGAAGCAGATTTCGGATATTGACTATAAGTCAGCCGCTCTTCGGGCGATCGGGACGAGATTTAAACGGTAGTGCCGCGAAATGGTGTAGAATTTTATGCAAAAAGAACGAAATCGCTATCGCGTCCGAAAGTCGAGATATAAATTGGCCGTTTTTCGTTTGTGCGCGGACGGTCGAAACCGTGCACGACGCCGTGCATGTTGCCTGCCTCTCTCGCATGATATTCACTGTAACGCGGCGAGTAAAATGGCAAGCCGAATGTAATCGTTCGATTAATTAATTAAATATCTCTATTAATTATATATCAGTTCTTGCCGAGCTCTGCTTTAGATTAAAGAGGTATTCTAAAATACTTTAGATTAAAACTATAAAGCTAAACATTAAATAACCACAATAGGATTTTGTACTACGTCAATGTCCACAGGGCATTCAATCTCTTCCTCGCGGTGCATTATAAAAATTATCTTTTTCTCTCTCTGTCTCTCCTGCTTGTATTTCGTTTTCATTATTTCATTTCCATTTGTACGTGAAAGGGATTTGCGTCTCGGTGCTCGAGCAGTGCCCGAAGAAAGACGCGACGCAATGGGCGATGATGGGGCGTCGGTGTTCCTCTAAATAATGAAAATCGAAAAGCTAATTCTATCGGCTCGGAATAACGCGAAACTGTTAACAGGACTAGCAGCGGCCTCTTGATGGGATTTTAATTACTTTCCAATTGTCGCATTGCTTCCTATTATTGCCTGTCGAGGATTTCCGCTATTTTTTTCTCGACAAACGGTCCTCCCTTCCTTTTCTCTCTCTCTCTTTCTCTTTAGATTCCGAGCCCTTTTCGTCCTCCTGAGTCCATCCTCTCGCATTCGACAACCCGCTTTTATTTGTCTCCGTATAATCGATTCATTTATTTACTTCCGCTGCGAGAACGAGCTTTCCTCGTCGCCGCTGCAAATATCCCCGCGATCTCTTCTGCCATCGGAATGGCTTTGATTCATTTAAGGGATGAAGATTCCGAGGGAAACTATGCGAGAACGTGTTTCGCGGAAATACGATCCGACGTTTTACAATCGGTAAATTTATTCTGTTTTCTTTCTTCTTTTATTCGCCGATGGATAGAATTTTTGTCAAAATTAAGACGCGATTATGCAACTCGTGTAATATTTATCGATCTGTTGTTTCGCTGAAACATTAGTATTTGCGCTTTGCTAGATACAAGAGTAACAAGGGAATCATATTGACTAGAAATTTCAATTAATTTCTTGTTGTTTTATTATTTACCTTGAGCACATGTTATAGAGAATCAATATATTATATTTTAAACTGCAATTTTTTCATAAATGATTGAGACTTTTCAGACTCGAAAATAAGATCTTTGAATTGATATATATCCTGAAGCTTTTAATTGAACTCAATAAATAATTAAATTAAAGGATAAATACGATATTGTAAAAATTGACAAATTTTATTATTCATCTCGAGTTTCCACGAAATATCGAGGTTAACTTGACGTTACTGATTCACTGCTTTCCCCTTTTGCTGACGATTTATTTCAGGACGTCTCATTGACGAGTATTTTCACATGAAAAAGTAAACATCGATCGTTCGTGTCTATCGATCAGCTCGCCATCATGACGTTCGTCTCTCGGTTTATTTCCCGATACGATATCCTCGTTTCACATCGTAATCCAATCATTATAACTCGCGTTTGCGTCAAAGACGCCAAGCTCGCAGCATATACGGCTGACCAATCGTTTGACTGGATTTTCTGTTTTACAGAATCCCTCGAGGAGATATCCGAGGATTTCTTCCCGCAGGAAGTCAAAGAGCTAGGCCATCGCGAGAAATTACGGCATGCATTATTTAGAGGATCCAAAGTGCCTGCGCCCATATCGTCCTGTCGTCTCCCTCTCTTTCCTCCTATTCCTTGCCATTGCCGTTATCGTCTTCTACTTCGATCCCGTGCGTCAACATGGGTGAAAGGGATAAAAAAGATACATCAAGAGAGAGAGGACCTTCGCGATCTTCCTCCGTTCTCAGCGAATACTCTCGATGCTAGAGCAAAAGGGGTGGAGGAGTAACGGCGACAGGGAGGGCGAAGAAAGTGGGAGTTCGCGAGGACGGCGTAATCTGATTTATGTTTGACTCCGGAGGACGAGCTCCGAAGAAGAACTTTTTAAGAGATTGACTTCCAGCGAGAGAGCCAAATCGGGAAGTAGAAAAGAGAGAGGGGGAGGGGAGGCCAGACAGAGAAGGAGGCTGAGCAATCGAAAATAAGAGGTCGGGGTTCATGGGATGAGGCAGGAGACTTTAATAGATTCCGACGTTTCGCTCCACGAACTTCGTCAGGGGCTCGGAATATCTTGAGGAGTATGAGGAGGGAGGAAGGGAGAAAGAGAGAGGACGAGGAGGGGGTTGGAAAGCGCGAGGGATCTCTCTTTCTACTTTTTACACCGCGTGGTTTATTATACCCGCGCAAGCTAGATTCGCCGGTCTGATTGAAAATCGGGGATGGAATTTAATACCGGCATAATCAACGGTTTGCGAAATTAGATCGCGATCGCACGACCATCCTGGAGTTGTTTGTAATTAGTTGAGAAACTCTCGCTAATGACGCGTGCGCGGTTATATTATATCCATCGTCGGGTTCTCGGGAGGAGACGAGCGATCGATTAAGCGAAGAGCTGAAGCAACCGATATCATCCTGCGATTCTTGGAGATGAAAAATCTAATTAAAAGAAACAAACGTTTCTATTGCAATGGTACGATCTTCAGTCACCATCGCGCGTTTCTTCCAATAATCAAAGGAGACTTTTCCATAAAAATATGTTTCCTCTATATCGAGACTTTCCTAGCTAGAAAACGATCGTGGGAAATTTTATCTGCATCGGTGAAACTGTCGCGACCGATAATATTTCGCGACGAAACTTTGCCGCTCTCGCATCTCGGGATAACAGAGTTATGCGCGAGTCACGCGGGTTTAATGCTTGCGGCTGGACTGCCAGTTACCGTTTCTCTGGATGTCGGTTCTTCTCTGGACACGTCCCACGGGCACCACTTAAGACGAGATCATGCTGGAAGTCCGCGGTGATTTAGTTAAAACCACCTTCGGCGCTCGCTCAGTTTCGCGAGTTAACGTTTGCCAACTTTCTTTACGCGCGAACGCGATGCTCGGTTCACCTCGGGGATACTTTAATGCGCCTCCGACTAAGCGAATTTAGAGAGCCTACATTCGCACTAAACCTTCGCATTTTTTCTACGGAAATAATTGTATAATAAATCGAAAAAGAAAACAAGAATAAATAATAACAAAAATAAAGAAAACAAGAAATAACAACAAAAATAAATCCCATGTAAATATATGGTAAATCTGAATAATTATCTGAATAATTATCCGAATAATTATCCGAATAATTTGAAAATTAAACATAAAAATAATTCTGCACATTTATATGCTATTGAATTTTATATCTGACATATCTGTACCTCTTGGTTGAAAATTTTGCCAATGAATAGCGCAACGATGATTACAATAATCATGTGGTTTTCTCAATAATTTTATTATCTCGTGAATATGGAAAAATTTATCTTGCAATCTCATATCTCATTTTCTCAATACAAGAGAGAGAGAGAGTCCGTTTACTCACTTTGCTTTCTTTCCTCCTTGGTTTATTTTTTCGTACGTGGATTAAACTTCACGATTCGCGTATTAATCACAAGTATTATTCACGAGAACAACAAGAATGGAGTTAGATTATAAGAAAGCAAGCAAAGTAGTAGCTGCGGATTTCCGGGTTGCGGGGGTTACATACAAACATATATATACATGTCAGTAGAAACTTGATGAGTTTATTATAATGTTTGGATATACAAAGTAGGTTACTGGTTAGTTTCTCTAGGGCAAAAGCTAGGCATTTTTTTATAATCAGGTTTCTCTGTAAAATTTATCGAAGCTTTAATATCTCGCCTATTTTGTCTTCAATGTTCTCTATTATTAATAACGTCCTATTCAAACAAACTTCAATTCTAAATTATGATAAACCGATGTCACAGAGTGCGCCTGCTAGATTATTAGGCCGCGATTCTTTCGAGTCGTTGAAAGAATCTTATTTTTTCGACGCCAACAATTATCGTTTAGTAGCATTTTCAAATATACTCTCTTCCCTATTGTACAAATTTTCCCGATGACGTTGATATCGCATCAACGTCCGTGTTATATAAACTTTGATTATTTAAATTCCCTCGAATTAATTTCTACGAAACAATGAGTCGCCAAGTCGCAGATACAGTTTACTCGAGCAGCTGTTGAAGCAACTCAGTTTATCCAACTTCCTACTGCAATTTCGTGTCCTCGGGAAGACTGATTATATAATTGATCTAGAGGCATACTATCTTTCTCTTCTCAAACGCGTGCGTTTGTCGTTTCGAGGATTTGCCCTGGATTTTGTTCTCAGATGCCATCCGACGCGTTTCTCTCTGTTAACATCGCTACACATTATTACGCATACTATCTAACGCTGGCCGCGCCTCGCGTTATCCGCTGCCTTCTTCGTTTCTACGGGGGTGTGTGTATAATTCGCTCGCTTATACGAGCGGCGCGATCTCTCTCACAATCGTTTCTCTCAGTAGAGCAGAACGTAAAGCGACCTGTTCGGCGGTGTACGTTCAGTGAACCCACCTCTGCAGTGGCCGAAAGCCTGGGTGACCACGTCGGCCTGGTGGCGGCACGCGTACAGCCGCAGCTCACACTCATTGTCGTAGGTCTGCCCGTCGCTACCGCACACCGGCACGGACGGCACGTCCGCCGGGCACGAGGACGGGCAGACGCAGTGCACGCTGCCGATCTCCATGCAGTGGCCGCCGGAGTAGCATTCCAGCTCGTTGCAGGACGTAGATATGGGCGGTATCGTGTCCGCTGCGGATGCAAAACGGATTAGGGGCGCGTTAATTAATAGAATTATGTCGCGCGTCACCGAGACAGATCCGCGCGATCCAGCCGAATCTACGACACGCGCCGCGGTGGATCAGGGTGTCGTCGTCCGTCAGAGCGCGTTGAAACTCGTTATCTCGGCGATGTAACGTCGTTACGTCGAGAAACAAACGGCGCTTGACGCGAAGTAAGTTAGGGTGATGTTAATTCCCGGGGTAAATCTCATTTGCGAATAGTCGGCTGTGAAAGCTTAAATATTAAGAGGTATTGAACGAATGGATTTCTTCTAATTTATAAAGGGGACATGTAAAAAAGGTTCTAATTAAATTCCAGATCGATAATTAAGGTTTAAATATCGTAGTAGATTTAGACGATCTTTATCTTTGATACGCATGATACCTGAATAACATCCGGTGGGCGTAAGTATCTTGTTGTGATCGTTGCAGATTGTGCATTTTTGCCCCTGAATATCGGGCTTGCAGACGCAACGTCCTGTCATCTGCTCGCAGTCCTCTCTCACGGAACCAAATAGTGAGCAGCCGCACGCTATTCAGGAAAAAAAGTGATTTCCATTAATTTTCTGACAAAATATTAACATTGTCAATTATAATGTAAACATCTTATCAATATGTCTACAAGATAAATAAACAGTTTTATTTGATACATGTGTGATATATTTGATCATATAATAAACAATCGAGACGATCGAGAAAAATAGGACGCTCTGTATCGTTTCACATATCTGTATCTGTGCGAAATAATTCCATGATGAATCTATTATCGCAGGAGAACGCAGATTCGAAAATCTTACGTATGCATCCCTGATGGCCCTCGCTTATTTTCGGCAGTCCCCAGTAACCCGGCATACATCTGTCGCATTTAAGGCCGCCCACACCTGGCCTGCACTCGCATTGACCGGTTTCCGGGTTGCAGGTATCTGACACACTTCCGAGTCTATTGCAGTTGCACAAACTCGGGCAGCCGGCCCCGTCCGGGCCAAGGGCGGCGGTCTTCCCATCCGGGCAACAGCCGTGCCACGAATCCGCGCATTTTTGCACTTGGTTTCCTAGGACTGGAAGAGCACGCAATTGTCATCTGTCACTCGATATACGTAAAATTGCGCGTTGATTATTTTAATTACGTAATTTTCTTGAGATTGAACGAATCTTTTACGAAAAACATTTAAGATATTTATCTTCTTGAAAATTTTAATATCCACGTATTTTCAATTTAATATATTTTAAAAAATCAATATACTTTGAGAAAAAATAATACACAATATATTATTTTTTATTGTATGTTTGATATTTTATAAAATTACATAGCTGAGCATATTGATCGATTTATAAAATGATTAAAAGATTTTTCTCGCTGACCTTTCTTGCAGCAACGAGCGAATCGCGTCGTCTGATGGCAATAACTATTGCTAGGACAGTCTTTGCGTTCTGGTCCACTACCGCAGTCGTATTCTTTACCGTCGGAATCTACCAATGGAGGGTCACCGTTGCAAGGCTTGACTTCCATGCCTGCACAGGCATACAATGTCATAGTAGAAATCATATTCTTAACATCGCATAATAAATTATTAAATTTCATATATATATATTTTTTAAGCAACAATCAAAACGAGAATTTAATTTATCGCTTGTTAGCAAGGAAATAGTGCGGGAAATGAACTGTTAAAATATCGGAAAAGCAAAAGAAGTGGAAAGAAGCAAAATCCGTCCTCGTCAATCGACTCGAATCTTCTCGATTGCTTCCCAACCTTCGCAGAGATCGAGGGGCCTCAGTCTGAGCTCCTGCTGTCTCTGGCAAGCCTCCATCTTCATGGCGCAGAGAGAAGAATAGATTCTGAGGTCGCTACCGCAGACGGGCCGCATATTCTCCGGCGAGATGGAAGCGCAGTCGAATCTGCAGCTGCACCTGGGGAACTTGTCCGGGCCGAGCTCGCAGGTCGCCTCGAAGTCGCAGTGAATATCCTTGCAAGCCTCGCGCTCTTGTGTGCTCGTCACATCGGCGATGGTGGTGGCCACGCGAGTCACCGCGAGTGTCGACTTGGTCGCTGTTAGAAGCGGTTAGATGGGTTTATTGCGAGCGTTGTTAGAGCGTTAAAGGCAGCCATATGGTTAATGACATGCGGTTAACGCGCTTCATATAAGCGTTAAGGGGTATCCCGGCGTTCTAATAAGCTCTCGTTGCTGCGACCGTTTTGTGCAAACTATTTTCAATTACGCGACCTGTTACACGGCGGCAGCAACTTCGCAAGATTATGGAGAAGGCACGTGTGAAACGTGTGAACGTCTTTGAAACTTTACGAGTGCGTCCCACGCCTCGAGCGTTACGCTCAAAGGGGTTGCGAGTCGCGTTGCGTCAGACACGTCGAACGCTTAAACCCGTCGACAAGCCGCAATGGCTTTCTATTACGTTATCTGAGACGCTCGGTACGTTAAGCATTTTCGCGTGGCAGTTCCGTTCTACAGCCGATCTTCTGAAAACTTTGTGATCAAAGTTAAAATTAAATTTCGCAAAAGGTTTATACTCGATTTCTCTCTCTCATTCGCTTTGTACCATGATTTTCTTAAGACCGTATTCGCTACTGAAAACTGTATATTAATTACCTTAATTACCTAGTAACCAGTAGTCGCGAATTAACTGCGAGGAGAATTTCGCGGGCGCGATAAGAGAGAGGCGATATAATTTCTAGACTATATAATTTCAGTAACATACTTAACGCCGCTACGGCCAATCTGTCGCCGCAGTCCCCGTAAAACGTGACGTGCAACGTCGGCAACTTGGGGTCCCTGCCGCAGGCTGCTCGCTGCAGCTCGCACTCAGACTGGTAAGTTTTCACGTCGCTACCGCAAACAAGCTCGCCGCTGCTCTCCGGGCAGGACTTCGGGCACACGCACACACCCGCCACGCAATGCGCCCCGTGTTCACACTTCACCCTCGCGCACAGTTCTGGAAAACATTTCGTTTCCTCTCCTCAGCCACACATAGATCACCGTGGCACATAAATCGAAACTTTAAAAGAAGAAATATTTCGAAAAATTTTCTCTCAAATCCCGGCAAGAATATCGATGAGATAATGTTTAAATATGCGCGAGTCGACGAAAGAAAATAATATCGCGATTATTTCTTTACTTTTTGAATGAAAATGTACAATAAAAATTGTGCTCTTGTGGAATGGTAGAAGGGAGTAGAAAGGATTGTCGTTATCTGGTTGCAGTATCAGCGCAACTCGGAGCTCATCGCATTAGCTCGCATTTACGAAGCGCATGAAATATATGCTGCTTACCGCAGTCACCCACGTAGCTAATGGTGATGAGGGTCTGGCTCATGCACGACGCCCTTTTCAAGGCGCATTCATTATCGTAGGTCATTCCATTGGATCCGCAAACCTTTTCCGCTCCTGCCGGCTCTTTCACCTGCACACACAATTACGAATATAATTAGTCATGAATATGATTATAAAAATAACAAGTGCGAAATATGATGAAGAGGGAATTTTACATTTCGAAGTAAAGTCTCTATTTTACATTGGTATGTGACGAGGATTTTTGTTCAGAAGTAATAAAATGAAACCGTGTGCACGGTTACAACAGAGAGGAATATGAAAAGGTAAATTTAAAGAGAGCAAAGCAAGTTGCAGTAAAAGTAAAAGTTAGAGGAGGAAGAGAGAAAGAGACGAGGTCTCTCTGCGTGTCTCACTTGTTGCGCGGGGGATGCATGGTGCATTTGATGGACAGCAAGGCGAGGCCGGGGCTTGCGGAGAGGGAAGGGAGGAGGAGGAGGAGATTGCGCGATGCAATATAACACAGGAAAGAGCAAAACCTAATTAGCTCGGCTGTCATATTCGCGACTCCTCCTGTTTGCTTATTATTATTCGTGTTCCGTGCACCCTTTGTCACGATTATATCGAGCTGTGCATGTTTCAGTAAAATCCGATTGATGAACGAGAATTTATTCCTTAATGAATCTAGAAATAATTCTTTTTCTTCACCGTCGATGCTTAACTTGATTCGCGTTTAATCAATTTTGTAATTAATCCTAATTAATTGTATCAAGCAAATATAATTATCGTTTATTAATTGACAATGAATTGTATTGAAAACATAATTAATGAGCAATTAATTGGCGATGAATTATTCGGTGGAAACAATTACAAATGTAATTGATAATTTATGTAAGTAATTTATATCTTCTCTCTCTCTCCTCTGTTAGAGCATCCATTATAATATAATTATGCAAATAGACATATGCGCGTAGGAAGAGCATTTTATCTAATTGGAATTCAAGATGGAAGGTATCTGCGTGGATGGCTTTGGCCGTTTTGAGAAAGACGGTAGTTATTATTACGCCCGTTCAAAATAGATCCGCACATCCGGTATGCGGGCTGCGGTGAAGTTCCTGCCATGAAAGAGAAGGACAGAGAGACGGAGAGTCCGATTTAGTTGGTTCCCTGTTAAGTTTAATTGACGTCAGTCAGCTCATTTTCTGAGGTTAATCCGCGTGCATGTGCGGACTCGTGGCTCGTGTTTCATTAAGAGGATTATTGTACGCGAATGCGTCCACGGCGTTGTTCTCCTCGTACAATGTGTTCTGCCTTTTGAATAAAACCATCTGCTTAAATTCACGTTGCAAATAATAAGATCGTTCTAAATTAATTCTAAATGCGATTTAGGCATCGCGATTATTTACATACACTGCCGCGAAGAAATATCGATTCGTGAATATTTTCGGTTTAATATTCGGTTTAATATTCGACATTATTATATCCGGAAATATTAATTCGCACGAGAAATATGAAAGATTAATTATTGGCTTAAATTACATCGTGTGTAATTTTAACTTTTCAATATAAAAAAAAAAAATATCGAAAAAATACCGGACTTTAAATAATTCGAGCAATCTCCGATCTGCCACGTAATTGATCCCGTATTATCCATCTTGGAAACACGTTCGGGAATTCCCATCGCGAGCTAGAGAGATCGCTGATACTTGCCGACAAGCATCCGTGATCGACTGACGAAAGCGGGCTTTTCTCCCGTCGTCGTTCCAGAAGAAAGCAGCGAGATAGTCATCCGCATGAGACTTTCGTCCATGGTTTCGAAAAATCCCCCCTGCCAATCTAATCCCTTTCTCGACTCCTTTTCCTCGACGTTGAATCCATCCCTTATTCCCGTCCGCATCTCCTCACGGACGACCACGAAAAGACCACGTTGAAGGAATTCGGAATTGTTCGCCGTCTCGTCAGCAGGACGTTCCACGAATCGTGAAATCTGTGCCACCTCGCCTATCTACCCGAATCAAGAGATCGGCTGAATTTTCCACGGGACCGCTATCTTGATGAACCGACATGCCTCCCATTCTGAATGTGCGCGATCGCCGCGACAGGCGAAAAAGTACCAGAGGAAAGAGTAACAGAGAAAGAGAGAGAGAGGGAGAGAGGGGGCGAAGGGAGAGGGAAAGAGAGATTGCAATATCCGCGTGCAACCGGATACGAAAAATTATTTATCGGAAATCGATCCGAGAGATAGGCAAATAAATCCACAGAAATTGAAGCTCCGTGCAAGCGAATCGGATTTCATGTATCGGCGCGCATCAAATCGTTACTATTAAACAGTTATTAACGGAAATAATGTGAGACTGAGAATGGGTTCGAAAATTGCGAGTTAATAAAGCCCGATTTATTGAAAGCTTGTTTAATCGCGAAAATCTTTTTATTATGCGCATCTTGTGGGTTTTTAGTTGCGGTGCCTTTTTATATTAATTGTATCGATTTTATAAGAATTTTTTTTATATCGATTCTATTAGCCTTGACCAGTATTCGTCCTGCACGCATCATGCATAGATAAGTGACAGTGCCTCGTCACAATTTACTTAGGATTTTACTGCTGAACCCTTGTAGCACGCATCGAGAGATAAAACTCATCAAGCCACACCCGAAAGAGTCGCGAACATGGGGGAACGAAATGTTAATTAAAACCCTTTCACCAATTCCCTTATTTCTCGAAGGGAGAATCATTGCATCGCGCTTTCGCTGTCTGAAATTTTCGACATTTCGAAGAGTCATCGACCATTGTCGGTCATCTAATGAAACACGAAAACGCCATTCATTCCGCGGAAGAGGGATGTAATAAACCAACTTCCCCTCGTGCACGTGAAACGGAACGTTGATGGAAAATCCTGAAAATGGCGCATGCAAATGTGTCAATCCCCCTCTTCCTCTTCCCGGCCCAGCCACCCTCATCCCTCACGGCGTGTTTCTAACGAAGCGCAACTTCCGTGGCGCGTAACATCGAACGGTCTTGGGAAAAACGCAAAACATCGCTGCTGGCCGAGAATACATATACGTGCATCGAGCGGAGCATTCATCATCGTATGAATATTTCACATCGGTTACGGCTAACGAGCGAGCCCTAGCTCGACGAATCGCCGCGAGCATCTCGAAACGATGAAGAGATTGCGACATGGTGATGGTATTCGATCTATTTCTTTCCGACAGAAAAGTCAGCATGATTTCCGCCAATTATATACATATCGATGCAAAATGGATCTCGATATATCGAAATATTGTTTGATAGAAAATGCAATAGGTGAAGACGAAATGTTTTCTTTTATTTGTGGTTCGGGCCTAAAAGACGTGTATAATATTTATCTACTTTCTATCTCTTTGTTTGATGCATTTATAAATATGTATATAATATGATTATATATATTATTGTTTTATTAATATTTTTCATTATAATTTTTACAGGATATTTTTCGAGTATAAAATATTTGTAAGAATCTGAAGAATTGTATGTATTAATTTCGATAAAATACACAGTAAGGATATTTAGTCCAAGAATCAATTTTTTCGCAATGAGAATTAATCTAACATTTATTTGAAAATAACTACGCGACAAGTTCACGTGTGATATATATATATATATATATATATATATATATATATATTTGTACCCATAGCAATTTATTGAATTTGAAATTTCCGCACGCGACTGCGCGGCTGTCAACCTTGGATCGAGAGCCATTTCTCTCGCGCACATCGACATTATATTTTCGTAGAAATACAAACAAGACAGGACGCGACATTTATAAAATTTCGACGATTGAAACGGTGCGAATGCAAATGACAATTTTGAATAATCCAAACAACCTGAACAGTCGATTTAATATTCTATAATGCACGGCACGCTCTCTTTTGGCATATTTATGATCGTACTATTCATTAGAACCAACATTTATAACGTCCAGTGTCGTCATTAATATGTAACATGTGGAAATATGGAAAAATAGAAATGCGAATATTTTTTTGTCTTCAACATGCGTCAGATAATTTCTGCAAATGTTTAGAATACATTTCGCGTAAAAAGAAGTCGAAATTGATTATTATTAAACATTCACAGATTCTTTTTTTGTCGATTATTATTTGGGTATATTATTTCGATTATTCTACGAGGACTTACCGAACTCTCGCATTTCGAGGGACAGACGCATTTGGCTTCTCCAGCGCTGTCGCTTTCGCATTGGCCGTAAAACTCGCACTTCTTGTTTTCGCAGCCATCTGTGAACAGATCGATGATGATTAAGAATCTATATTACACAGCTGGGTATAGGTTTAGCACAGATTCGGCCAACACGTTCCTTCGGTTTCGTGACATCGCTCGAGCCATTAATCACGCGCCACCCCTTGACCATCCCGTGTGGCGAACCACCCTCTGACCGCCTCAGGATAACATTAATAAAGATTCTCGCGGGTATTTGCATAACGGCGTCCGTTTCGAGTGGAATTTTCACTGCTGCAGGCGAAAAGGGGCGACCGGGAGGGGTTGAGAGGAAGCGGACGAGACAAAGAGTAGAACCGAAATGCGAGTAACAGAAATCAAGGGAGAATGAAAGAGCGGAAAGAACGATGGTGGCGGCGGCTTGGTAGTCTGCGAAGTTATCTTTAGAATTCATTGAAATCCACGACGGATGTGAGGGTGGAAGGGAGGGGAGAGAGAGGATAAATTCGGGAGAGATTCATCTCAACGTGTCGATGATGCTCGCTGAAGAAGGAGAAGAGAGAATTCTCCTCGCGTTTTTCAACGAGGTTCGAAAACGAGAATCATCACGTGCGAACAACCCGACTACGAGGGTAAAGGGGTCGAGGAGGGTTGCAACGCGCAAGGAAGCGCATGCATATGCAGCGTGCATGCCATGGGGTAACAACTCATATGATTTCAACCAACGTGGAGCTACCGGCGTCGCACGAAACCGAATTCTACGACACGTTCCGCTCGATTTCTGACGCGAGGGTCCGAGCGATAATGAAAATCAGTCGCCCCGCGCACAAGATTGCGTGTTCTTCGAAGTGTTTTCCCTGTGACTGGAATAATAACGTGAATTATTATCGCGAATTCGAAGTATCACGAGACATTATGTGAGAAATTTTTTTCTTCAACTCGATACGCAGACCTTTAAAAATGGGGAGAGCGTATGATTATGGGATGCCAAGAACTTGGTAACAATGTTCGCCAAAGTCTCTCAGGAAATCCAGTTCTTTCTTCTTCCGCTTCGCCAGAATTTCGAATTCGTGGGTCGCCCCGATATTAAAAGCGATCCAATCTTTTCGGCGCGTTCGCCGGGTACGTGTGTTATGAGGAAAGTTCGGTAAACCTCGGCACATCGGTACCATCGCGTCGTAGGTAGCTACTCGGGCGGATCACTTTCCTCTCATCGTCCCGGGCATCCCATTTCATCAGATTTTTGTGATGGAAATTACTGTTTGTGTTTAGACTAACTTTCGCGAGTACGTGATTTTATATTCTCGGGGCCTTACAACGTCAGTCGAGAGCTGACGGAACTGGAAGAAGAGGAGGAGGCGGATGGCTGGTTTGATGGAATCGCTGTTTGAACGCGTTTCCGCCGGCAGGCTTTCGATAAATCTGCGCGTCTGATAGCGGACGCGCTTGTCCGCGCTATGTTGACAAGTGGAGCTTTAATAAAGATGCAAATAGGAATGTTGCGATTTATTTCTCCGCGAGACATGAATACGTCTAAAAGTTTGCAGATTCATCTTCCCAACCAATGCGTTGATATAATTAAATTATATCACTTATTATCTTACATCTTTTATATTTATATTAGATATTTATATATTTACTATATAACTGTATATTAAATTATATTAATAATTGTATAATAATTATTAAATAATTAACTAATATAATTTAATAGACATGCAAATATATTTATACAAGTGTATATTAAATTATATATTAAAATTTATAAAGTAATGTCGCATTTAAATAATTCCTTCGCACATACATTTGTTTTTAAAATACGCACCGGTGATTTTAAGACACTTTCTACATAGTTTATTCGTTGCGTATGACTAACAAGAAATGTTTGCGCGAGTACGTGAATTTGCGTTGGAAATGAACAGTGCCAGGTGTCATCGTGCAATCGCATCCTGGAGGACGTCGAGTTGTGCGTTTGTCTCGCGTTGAAAAGCGCTTCATTCGCGAGTGATTTCCATAAAGACGAGCGGAAGGATGAAACCGAGGAGAGACGGTAAAGAACGGATTTCCTCCCCCGTTTAATTGCGGCGATATCCACGTTTTTACAAGCGAGTCGTTATCACAAGCTCGAGGACAAAGAAACTTTATCATAATATTTAACGACACAATATTTTACATCCAACTAATGCGCACCGATTACAATTATAATTAGATCAGTCCCCTCGGGTTACGGAGAAAATGAAATAATATTTCATATCTGGCAAGTGTTTGCTTCTCGTAAAGTAATGTGGAATTTTATTTTAAAAACTGCATGGTACTTGCAATTTTAATTTTTTATTCAAAAAGATAGCATTTGAGTTATAATGCATAGCATTATAAGCTAAAAGATGTATCTTATGACTCATTATCAGAATCGTACATGTTCTATTAGAAAATTCACCAAAATGAGGCGTAGGACGAAAAGCGATTGGAGCGTGATATTCATCGAATGCTAAGAAAAGACGCACAGGACGGAAAATCGCCCAGGAATTCGCGTCCTTTTGAGACCACCGCTCCTGATAGCGGCTCATTCTAGATTATCGTGGACGGAGGGGAGAGGAGAGAGTGGATTAATAAGAATGAAATTGCAGGGTAGGGGCCAACGTCGTAAAGTACACGGTCGATGAAATCTCTCCTTCGCCCTTTTCTCCCTTCCTCCCGGGATCGGCGGAGGGTGCACGGCGTCGTTATTAAAGGCATCGTAGAAAATAATAAAATGAAGATTAATAGCGCGAGTTCGCGTGCAGCCGCGGTGATGCATCGTCGAGTGCAGTATGCATGAAGTTGTTTACGATATCGTCCGGAATTTCTATCGCGAGCGAGAAAACGAAAAGAAAAGAAACTGAGTGATATCGCTCAAACTATCTGACTTGCGGTCGAGGTATAACTTTATCAAACGCGACATTTGGGGATCGCGTATGTATTAAAAAAAAAATTATTATTTATAGAATAATCGTTTCAAACCATTTGGTCAGTACGTTTGCGAAATAATCGAAGCACTAAATCACCACGAGGCAAATGGTAGATCTTATTTGTGGATTGTGAAATCTACTTTGTATCAAGATGATCCCTCGATACGAAGCTTGCAAATTATACGTTTCGTTCCTTTCCTACCGAACACAATGGGACCTGATTTTTACGATCGCGGCGCTTTATCGCATCGTATCGAACGCGAGGAAGCGCGGGGGCGTGCGGTCGATCGATGCCTAATTCTAGAGAAACACGCGAGGTCATCGACGTTAATCAAGTTTCATGCCGCCGTGCTACTTAAGATCGTTCAGAGAAATCCGTTATAAATTCAATTTACCCAGGCCGGATATTCAAATTAGTCGTAGCAAGTTTTAAGTTACCGCTGCTGCCGGCGGCTACGCGACCGTATATTAACCCCCGTTGTCCGACCACTCTGGCATATTAAAATTACAGATTTGTTCTCTTAACGCCCCGCCTCGCGAGTTGGAAATTATTTTTCGTGCTCGATATTAGCGCTCGATAAGAGAGCGCTTCATGCGAGAACAATCCCATCCGGGATTGGGAATCCAGAATTTGATGTGATTAATTGAAGTGCCTTGCGGGGAACCTATTTAAGAGATTAACTCGCCGGCAATATATTTTCTCCGCGACGACGACGAAACGAGCGATTGAATGGGATACAAAATTATATTAAGTAAAGCACAAAAGAAAGCAATCGGGAAATGAAAGATGAAGATTTAAATACATTTGAAATTTCGAAATGTGCGAGGAATTTGAGATTGCTCGAAAGTTAATATTACAAATTGCATTAGACTTTCTCTAAGGATGTTGAAATCTAATCTTTTTATGCGCTTTCTTTCTCTTACATTGTTGAAGGATATTAGAAAGTAACGGAAGAAAATTCGTTTTGATGAAAACAAATAAATAATGTATCGAGGATGCACATTATTTATACGATTATTATATATATATATATATATATAATAATCGTATAAATAATGTGCATCCTCGTCTCGAATATTTAAAATATATCTATTTTTTTCATACATATATATAATTTTTATTATTTCTAAAAGTTTCCTTTGCGCAAATATTATCTGAAATCTGAGATGTCAACAATGCATGTAAATGAGCTTCCGGTTTTAAAAATGCGACGAGCGGATTCGCAGAGACAGAGAGAACGACAGTGAGCTGTCGCGTGTAAAATCTATTTTCGGTACTCACTGCACAATCCTTGGTACAGAATGCGTATTTCCCGTCGATGCTGACATGCCTCTAGGCGAAGCTTGCACTCGTTGCTATAGCTGATGCCATCATCGCCGCACACAGGCTGAAATTCTGCCGGACAAGTCGGACATTCGCATACAGCATTGCCGCCGTTCTCCGCGCAAATTGCACCCCACTGGCACACCTGCGAACCGAATAATCGGACATATACGTTTACGACATATCGTTGCATTACACGGTGAAACTATCGCCATTCTACATGTCTCGAGTTTTCTTATTTTTTAAATTAAACATTAAATTGTTTTAAACATTACATTATAATTAATACATTTGTAATTAATTATTAATACATTTATAATTATACATTATAATTATAATTTTACATATACATAAATTCACACCTTCGAATATTTTCTAATTAAACTAAGGAAAATATAGGAGGAAGAAAAATGGAAAGGATTTAATCAGTTAATGGAGAGTTTCCCGAAAATATATCGAGATTGAGATAAAGCTATCGATAGAGAAATATGCAGGACGAGGAGTTCAATACTCGAACGTTTTTCGATAAATTCATCGAGTTCGATCTCTAGAGAACTTTCCTTTTCGTACCAGTATCTAGCTTTCCTACGGAGATACCCGGCGCGGTGTCATCCAATTAGCGACAATTGCTTTTTGGCGAAGAAGCTCGTCGAAATGGTAAAGATCTCACCTCGGGCTTTCGAATTTTGTGGAAAATCGAGAAAGTATCGAAAAGGAGGAATAGCGAATGGTAGGAAATTCTCTCCGCACTCCATCGGACTCTTGATCCCTTCCAATTTCCGCGGTGAATACATCTAGCAATTTCCATTTCGTGAGCTTACTCGACGTCGATTACAAACCTTGTTTTGTGGACCGAATAGTGATCGTAGCTTAAATCGAACTAAATTGCGGCGTTTCGAGTCGTATCTATATCTATTTCTTATGAAAACAATTGGTAACTTTAAAATTTCGATATACAGAGATAAATTATACTAATCTTTACGTCGAAATATTTTCATTTTAATTCGAATTATTTATAACTGAATTTTATTGAACAAAATCAATTTTAAGAATATTTATTTATTTATTAATAGAAAAAAGGACTCCTTTTAATACGAAAAAAATGCATCAGCAAGAGGCTTATAACACAAAAATGTAAAATTTAAAGCATAGAAAAATATAAAATTAAAATATAGAATTATTATAAAATACGCGCGCGAGGTAAACCAAGAAAACCACACAAATTAAAAACGAATTATATTAGTTATGACAATAATTATGCAAGTTTCAAGTGAAAAAAATATCGATATAGTCAGACAGATTATTTGCCAACAGACATATTGTATCTGTAGGTTTATGCCTTGCATAAGAGGTGCAAAATGAAAGAATATTTGAACAAATTTGTATTGTAGCACATAATAAAGGTTTCCCTTAAATTTCGTAGTCATTTAATCGATCTATCAAATTTAATAAAATGCGATATAGAATGCAGTTTTAAGAATGAGACAGAAGAGCCCATAGTTCGCGGTTTTCGAAACTTCGTTGACACTTATATTTCGGCGAGAAGCGGAAGCGGAAATTACGAGCATTCGCACGTGACCCTCCGACGTGTCGAGCATGCAAATAATCGAAACTGACCTTCTCGGAACAGGGTCCTCTGGAGCCGCACGTGCCGACGTAAGCCACGTCGATGTTGCTCCTCGTCAGGCATGCTTGTCTCTTTAGCTCGCACATGGACGTGTAGGTGGTCCCACCGCGGGCGCACACGGGCCTCATCACCGGTTCACATTCGGGGCCGCATTCGCAGTTGGCGATCCCTTGACGATTGATTGCGCATTGCTCGTAAAAACTGCACTTTGCTGCTTCGCAAGGGTTTTGTCCTGCGAAATATCCAAACAATCGTACTCACTAAGTAAGTTCCTCAACAAAATATTTTAGGAATCAAGTGCTTAATTTAAAAATTGATTGATTAATTTATTTTGCGTCATATTGTTTACTAATATAGAATCAATTATATTTATTTATTTCATTGAATAAATAAATTCTTATCAATTTTATCAGTATGCTTAGAAAATGTGCATTTAATTTCTACACATTTATTTTTTTTACGGTTCAACAATCGCATAATCGTAAAATGTCTTGCAAGATATATATATATATATATACATGACTTTCCGAATATTCCAATGTTCAATTTATCGGTTTTGGATCAAATGCGGATCTTGTTACCGGTACTGCAGGCGCCGTTGTAGATTTTCTTGAGCGGTAATCTCGACCGGCAGGCTTCCTGTCGAAGGCTGCACTCGTTCGAATACGTTTTGCCATCACTTCCGCATACTGGTGAAAATTCGAGGCCGCATTGTTCTCCGCAGCGACAAGCTGGTTGTCTCGAACCGTCCAGCTGACAGATTTCCGGTTCTACGCACTCGACGTTTCCACAGGGATCTGAAAAATTGATTAGATCATAATTAATAGCGTCATTTGTGATTATTTATGATAATAATTTATAACAAATGTATTCTTTTTGTTTCTGTGTATATGTTTATATAAAGAGTTTATTAAAAAATCATTTTTAAAAATTATTAATTATGTTTATATTTATTAAGAAGAATTTTATATTTTTTATCATTATTATTATTTCTCAGTTATAGGAGTTTTTTCCTAAATATAAGAATTTGTAGTGAAATAATCGGCGTAATTTGAAAATTTTATTCGCGTTTGATTGATTCTTACGTCGCAGATTTATGAAATCACTGCTAATTCGGCTGCAAAATTGATTAAATTTAAACGACCTTCGTATGAGTCCTTTTTATGGATTATATCATTTGCATATGGGAGGCGAGAAAATCCGTGCGATGTGACGCGGATGAGAGGACGAAGATGGAAGGGATGTCGAGTGGAGGAGATATGGCTGCAGGTGGAGGAGATACGTCTGCATTGAGATTAATCTTCGCCCTCGACTAAGGGAAGGAAGTTGAATTCCGTTTCCTGTCTACAGGCTAGGTTTCGTGCCTTATACCGGCGGCTGACGAGGCAACTTCTCCACCGACAGCGGTGGTGATGGTGTTTCTCGGGGTTAGCTCAAGTTACAGTCCAGTGGAGCGACTAAACTCGACCCTTCCGCAACCCAACCCCCGGTTCGCCGGTGCTTGTGCACCAGCCAGTTTAAACTTAACACTAATCGATCTCGGTATCGTTGCACTGCCGTTTTGAGATTAAAAACATCGTCATTTCATAATCGCCTCGTCATCATTCTATAATCGCGGCTTTTCCAGAACAACTTCTCGCGATTAAGACAAATATTTCCTCCTTCCTCTTCGCCCGTGTTACATGTATGTGATTTATTTTTTCAGGTAAAATCGAGAAAAGTTCTTGTATTCATCACTTGCATCGAATGAGAAAGAGAGAAAGAGAAAAAAAGAATGAGATGTCATCGTCCTTTTCAAGGTCTCTCCGCCTTAATGGGATTTCTCACCCCGCTTCTTCTTTTCTGTCGTTCGTCTGCAGCCTTCATCGAAATACCGACCACGATCCGAACACTAGGAGGGCGAGGGTGCGGAGAGGGGGCGGTTATACCTATACCGACGCGTTAACTTCACGCGACATTACCCTGATGTGGATTTCTTTGTATTATCGGGTCGTGGCACGACGTGAAAGCCGCTGGAAGACCTTTTCAGTATGGACGACGGACTTGCCGTTCGACGACGAGAATCTCCCATGGAACGTGCGCAAAGACGATGCAATGCGATGTATCGCGACGCGAGTGACTGATGAGGTCCTCGTACATTCCTTGTATTATACGTGAATTATCGTCTAATTTAGCGGAGAAGAAGAAGTGACGGCCGTGGAATATCAATTTTGCCGGCAGTGATCTTAGCAGAATATCGTTTACCGCGTAAAATACGCAATTTAAAAAATCGCAAATTAATTAAAAAAAATTACTCAAGAAAGATCTTGAAAGGTTTTCGATAAATCGATGAATCGAGTATCAACTAGAGATGATTTTCCGATATGAAAGACGCTCGCAACCGACTTGTGTACATACAAGGCGAGAGTGTCTGCATTCTAGTTACTTCCGCTAAAGCAACTGCAAATATCGATCCTTTTTAGTCGCCTTCCTTTCATGTGCAGATACTGTGCGCGCATACCTCTCCTGCATTCCACGAGTACTACGAACGGGAATATCTCAAAATCGCTCGGCGCTCGGTAAAAGCCTCGGTAAATTGTCCGTCACCTTCATCCAAGAACAGAGCGAATCAACATTATCTCCATCTCGTTTGCAGCTTTAGGAATTTACCAGTTTAGATTTGTGTCTTTCTCGTGAAAAGATGATAAATTCGCGAGATAAATTCTTTGATATTGCGCTGAAGCCTTGTACGCATTGTTAATTACATATTTCATCAAATATTTTCACAAGACAGAGACTTGAAAAAAGGAACTCGTGTATTAAATAGATATAATACAATAACGAGAAATCCAATTAAAAGTAAAAAGTGAGCGCGTCAAGCGAGCAAAAAGTTATAACACGAGCTATAACATTTAATAAAGCTGCGGGAGGCTAAAATCCCATCAGGATTTTCTTCTTTTTCCGCTCGCGGTATCCTTTAATCGTGTCGCAAGAAATATCTCGATGTTTTTCTCTTCCGTGACTCTCTGGGAAAGTAAAAAAAACATGAGAACGAGAGAGGACGCGATGAGACACAGTTCGATATTACGCACAAATATAACGGTATTATTATGTCTAAAGAGCAATGACTGGGTTTATGTTAACACCACCGTCGGATACTTCCGGCATGTTAAGCTTCGTCTTCCGCTTCCGTTCAATCCACCTACATTCTCGCGTATAAATCTCTTCGTGATCCCTCTATCTTTCTCCTCTCGCGCCACTTAGGCTCGGAACGTATAAATATAAATACGTAAGAGCCTGGTGTGTAGTATGTCAGCCAAAAGACGCAATTTACGAGATAGCGAATGACGTAAAATTTCGGCAGAATTTAAGCCGCGCAGCAAGTCGGATAAATTGCCGCCTGCTTCTGTAAAGATAAGTTTTTTATGAGTCAGCCATGGAAACGGTGGCTGTCTCGATATCTGGCCGCGGTTGTCAACTGACATTGATGCAGCTGTCAAAGCGTGATAGCTTTGGAATTTAAAATTATGCAATTTATATCGCAAGTTGATTTTTGTATCTTCTTATATTGAAATTTGTTTGGATTTGAACTGTCAACCAAACATGCAAGTCCTATTACATTTGCTAATTTTTAAATAGGACCACATTCTTGGCACCTTTTTTCATGTTTTTTGTAATTTTACTATCGACACATGATTATCGATAATTAATTCTTGTAGAAATGAGAATTTTTCTCACAATTTTTGTCCTCGGAATTGCGTTTGCCATCATCATTATTTCCAGGGGACTTCGTTAGATCGATATAACGGTGATATAATAGCACGATTAATAAATCTACTTTATAGTGGTAATATTTCAGCCATCAAGCATGGGAATAGGAGCCCGTTAACGTTTTCAGATAATGAGCAATACACTCACTCTTCTCTCTTCGTCCGTATAATCGAATCCGCGCGGACGAGTATCAGCGTTTGTCTCCGCCACTTTTTAACGACGACAACGTTCGTTCTTGTCATCGGTGCGGCGCAATCTCGCCGCTATCGACACTTACATGATCATCGATAACCGATTGCAGCCGTTACTTACATCCGCTCGTTTCTTGCCAACTAGTGCACCTTCGCGCGTAAGATTGTTTCCGGCGAGACGGGTCACTCGTCCTTTTTCCCTCGCCATCTCGAACGCTCGACTATCGACGCGTCCCGCGCCTCGCTCATCTACGTCTAGGAAATCGTTTTCTCAAACTGATACCGCGCTGAAATTTCCGGCTCGTTGAGCTCCGTTTGTAAAAGGAGTCGTGGATAAACGCATTTGGTTTGTCTCGGGTTTGCACTCCGCCGAGTTTCTCCCGGGGAGGGCCCCACAAGGGCTAACGTTCTTTTCTCGACGTCGTTCAGCCTAGCTCGACGAGTGTGAGAATTTAGTTGAATCCATTTCTTCGAGACGCCACGCCCCGGGAATCCAACATTCCTTCATGGCCGGCGCTACTTTTTCCCGGTCGACCCTTATTTCGGCACGTTCGAGCGTGAAAAAAATAGGCGCGCTTCTATTTCCTTTTCCTCGGCTCTGGATATGCGATGGGCGCGACTTGCGTTTCACGAGAGCCGAGAGGAACAATGCGTCAAGCTTGTATAAAGATAGAGATACGCCTTTTTCCTTTACAGAATGTTAGAAAAAAATTCGCAAACATATTGAGAGAATATCTCTCGAAGAAGGAGAAATAAAAATGTAATCAACGAGTTGTCATTATGAAATGTCGTGACATATAAGGCGACGTTGAAATATAATATATCGACAATTTTAAAATAGTAAAAAAATGTATGCGTACGCGAATATTTAAAATAAAAATTCTGGACAAGAAAATTAATTTAAATTTCTTATTAAAATAAAAATACCCACTCGAGACTTAATCGTTGATCCGATATGATTTTCCTTTTTACGAAATATTGGCATCTTGTCCTATTTTTTATATTACTTTAAAAATATTTTCCAGCGTCAGATTATATTTTCTCTTACATTTACGAGGATAATGAAAGTAGCTTATGTTGGAAACTGATAATTATGACAGGCTTAATGGCTACTTTGTCGAGAAGCAGGTTTTTCATCTTCCTGCACAGATTTAAAAAAAACGTGCAGACGTTTGACCCCGTCTGCTCTTTTTCCTCGCTTCGTTTCCGTCCAATCACGACCGCGAAATAGTATCTGAGAGGGAGGATTCGAAAAGTCTCGAAACTTTCGGGAGTTAATTTGATTTATCGTCGTACCGTCACTTCTCTCAAATTCATGCCCTGAGCCGCCTCATCCTTTTCCCCTGCCTCTCATTTTATCGTGAGAAATTCGCGAATGGGAGATTTCGCAAGGCAAGGGAGGGAGAGAGAGGACACTACGAGAGAATTTATTATCGATTCCGGCGTGTTTAAAAGGATCGCAACTGGCGTCGATTGATAAAAGGGCAACTCCCATTGTTGTACTAGGCTTTCCACCCGAGGACTACTAACTGAAGGAACTCCGAGGTCTTCTCTTCGCCCCCTCCCTCTCTCCCACCCCATCGCTTCTCTTTCGAAGACCATCCCCGGTCGGATATTGCGTTTCATTGTTCCTGATATAATACGAAGGCAGAAACAGTGAAACGAAAAGGGAAGACGTTCGTCTTTGTAAACTTCCGGCGCTCATCCGCCTGCCTCCTTTCGACTTCTCTCCGCCGCTCTTTGCCCTCCTACATCTCTATTACACTTCCTTTTTCCTTGTACATCGTTGGCCGTTATTAAGCCCCAAGAAGATGGATCGTATCGTGCGCCGATGAGCGTCGTGGATTTATTTCATACTGCTACAAGGATTATTATTTTCAAATATCGTCTTTACACGCTCTCATGATTTATTGCGTGCGATCCCCCATGAGGTATCTGCAATTCGGCTTTAACGCTCTCGCCATGAAAGCTCATACTTCTTATTCAAAAAACGTCCTTTTAAACTTGTTCGCATTCGTGTATCTTTGACGCTTTAAAGTCGCACTTGCAATCGTGCATGACCGACTCGTCATTTCCGGGTCGTTTCGTTTATCGATTGGTCATCTGAATCCGCTTGTCAGATTATTAACAGCAAAATTGAATTATTTCTATCAATTGCACACATACACGTATTTAGAGCAAGAGTGAAAAAGATAAGACCATATTTTTTTACATGTATAAATTGTGTAGTCGTTTTTGTTCTACATCTCCGCATTCAAATCATTTAAAATTCCCCATTTGCTCAGCGCTATGCGCACCGTTTGCATGCATATGTCTTTAATGGTTGGGATCGTTTGACGACATATTTAACTAACTCGTTAACCGGCTGCGATTACCGTAACCGTTACCATCTACCATATCAACGTTGCGAAGAAGCCTTGGCGAGCAATCGTATGAAGGAGCGAAAAGGGGTAGGAAGGATGGAGGGAAGGACGCAAGATGGACTTACCTAATCCTAAGCAAACACGGCCTACTCCCAGTACCTGTCTGATCAAACATTTGTCTTTACTACTCGGTTGATTAAACACCTGCCAAGTTTATACTGTTTCCATGGTAGGGAGTAAAGGTTCTCTCTCTCTCTCTCTCTCTCCCTCTCTCGTTCGTGAATGTGCCTACGACTACCTGTGGACACGAACGATGACAGCTGTGCGGAATATGGCGTATTAAGCGGCAGATATATAGGATATCTAAGACTACACGTAGCTGCTCCCAGAGGAAATAGCGGTCGTTTCACCGACGATGCTTTTCGTCAATATTTAAAGAGTCAGTTAACATTTGGTAATAGAGAGTAAATTTCATGAGAAATTAATATTAAACTCTTTCTTTTTAATGGCGGAGGAAATTTTATTTTAGTTAAAATTAAATTTTTAGAATTTAATTAAGATATGAGATACTAAACATAAAAATGAGAAATGATGATTTTCTCTTCAACTTTATATAAAGCTGAATTTATTAACGTCATTAGTAAATTGAAACATCGAGTCTCTAATTTTGGAAAGTAAGTTTGAAAAGAAATAAAGAAAAATTAAATATGATTAGTTAGGATTTTTCTACTTCTCATATGTTGGAATGTTTCAGCCGAAACACAAACAATTATAACAAAATCTAGTTCGAAAGATAATAATGGCGAATGGCAGCGTAAGCACAAATCGTTCACATTAGCGATTTGTCTTGAGATACATACTGAATAATAAAATTTATGATAGAGAATAAAAAGTAATGAAAATAAAATAAAAATGGAATAAATTGCCGGTAATAAAAAGATATTTTAAAGATCATTTAATATGTCACAGAATAAGTCAGGAGCTTTTAAGTTTTAATTTCAATTCCTGTAGAATTTTGATTCTAATCCTTCGATTTATTTGGCTTAATCCCACAATTAATCAAAAAATTAATTCTGGTAAAACTCAAGCTGCGCTTGTTAACTGCATACTATTCGTCAAAATGCCAACCTACTTATATTATATATATTTAATGTTAATTTGTATAACATTTATTAAACTATATATCATTTTTATAACATAAATACAAGATTTTTCTGTACTTTATATAAATCTGTACTTGAAAGTCAGGCCCCAAAATTTATTTCAAGTTATCTGAATGAATTTTGGATGCAGTAAGAGTCAGAGAATCTTGTTGTGCATTACAAATGAATTTTTTAGTAAATTATTTCTGTTTTGTCACATTATTGGCATTTCGAGATCTCGTTGAGCGATATAAAAAAACACTTACCGCATTTGCCGCGAAATGCAACGGTGATGTTAGCACCTTTCGCACAGGCGACTCGATTTAGGTCGCACAACGTCGGATAGTCGATGCCATCCGTGCCGCAGACAGGTCCCGAACCCTCGTGATCCCCTAAATTTGGGCAAGATTCCAAGCATTCGCAACTCGCCTCCTTGCCGTCCCTGGTTCGCACACATTGCAAGCCTTGCGAGCAATTCAGTTTCAAGCAGGGATCCTTGATTTCTGCAAAGAAAACATCAAAATCTGACATTAATTAGCGTCGCGATAATTAAATTAATATCTAGCAACATGATACGAAGGCATTTAATTTCCTTCTTTAAACAATTCAATTAATAATTCGACGAAACGTTAAAATACGATATTATCAGACGTGTATACATATTTATTTACACAATTGATGCATTTGCATAAATGGCTTTCATCACATTACGTGTAACGGTATAAAATATTAACTTTTAATAAATTAATATCATTTAAAATAATTTATGGAAAAGCTCCGCGTCTGTTCTCTGAATTTCCGACAAATAAATCTGAACATTAAATAATTAATTACAGTCAATGACTGTAAATCGCGCTTCATCGGGATGAAAATACGCCGGACCTGCATTGCGCAAGACGCACGTCTCTCCTATTCCGTGTGATAATGCGTGTTTGCCGGAAACGGATTGATAATGACGCGATAATCCGTTGACGAGAGCGGCACGATGTTACGGTCAATCCCGTTAATGGAAGCCGTCGACAGCTTCGATTTCGAAGTAACGAGACGAAAGCCAATGACGAATAGGATGGGGAGTGCCTCACCGCGACGTACGTTTGCCAGGTACAATCACGGACGATACGTGCAATTTAATGCTCTCGTATTCGCGGGATTGCAATCGTCGAACCGGTTTACGACGGAAATGTCAAGCGTAAATGTAGAAACCTACGTCCCGACGCGTACAGAGTACGTAGAATGTCGACCCGCCATTTTTGCGTCTATATCTCTCTTGGAAATTTAGTTTCAAAATATGTCGCAAAGATTTTGAAGTATTTCTATCCCCGAATTCCATCTTCAAAAATGTTTATTTCTCTGCATCTCTAAAATCTAATCATTTATTTCACATTATTTTTATTATTTTTTAAAATTTATTCTTACAAAATAAAAAATATGCACGATATATTGATTTTTAAATATTTCTACCTTTGAATTCCGACTTGAAATTCATTTTAACTATCTATAAAATCTAAAAATCCAATAATTTGTTTCACATGATTTTTATTATTTTTGTATTTATTCCTATAAAATATATTTATATAAATATAATATAAAATATATTTATCCCTATAGAATAACACACATACGCGAAATATTGTATCTTGTTTACGTTTCGTGCCTGATTATTTATAATCCTTTATTACTCATAGCCAATTTTCGCGTGCGCTTTACAATAATCAGCGATGCGATATTGACTCTCCCGTCTAAACGACAAAAATGCGAAAATCTGTTTTTTAGCGGCGGAAAACACAGCGCGCGACGCGCTTAATCAACGATATTTTTCCTGTAACGCGAGTCCACACTGCCGAAATGTAATTGCGAACACGATGCGCGACACAACCTACCTAGCGTGACGCCGTAACGCGCCGTGAAATTAAATCGGTGCGATTCGCGATGAATAAACTATCGTCCGCTGGGATTCATTCGCGACGAAATTTACACGCGGCGCCGCATTTTTTGCGGGGCGACAAAAAAAAAAAGAAAAAAAGAAAAACAGAACAGTCGGGTCTACTCGTGGCGCGGCTCGGATCATTAACCCTGTCGGATCCCTAAGGACCGACCCAAAAGAGTTCGCATGCGGTTTCGTGCTCTGTTAAAATTTTATCGCGCGTGCATGAGTGAAATTTGCGGTCCCCGACTGAACTATTTTCCGTCGGGAGTGGCGTCGTAACCAACGAGATATATCTCTCGACGAAGGTGGACATGATGGTCTTCATACCCTCGGTTACTATATAAATTATTTATCCATGACATGTGAGAAGCAGTCCTGTTGTAGAGCTTTTCGCATATTTTCTTTATTATGCAAAAAATAGAAAGAGAAAATTAATTATTCTTTATTTAGCATGTTGAAGACAATAATTCCATCGATTCTTCTTTGATTTTAATATTTTACCTGTAATTCGCCTGAAGCGCTCATTTTATGGAAGCTTTACGATTCGCGACAAAATAAAAATCTATTTATAATTTATTATTTGCTGATATATATTTTACATATATGTGTACATTTTATTTATTCAAAAATTGTCCTGAAAATTATAAATAGAATTTCGGCCTTTGTCGCAAATTATTCGGCACTGACTATAAAATATTTCAATAAGATAAAAATATATTCTCGCAAAGATTCATTACACTCAGCTCGCATGGCTCAACGCAAAGTTTCGATGGTTTTAGGCCGCGCTGTATATTACGCTCTTTCACTTCGAGCTGCAATCGAGGACGGGAATTAGGAAGAGCGCTAACATTCGTCGGAAATATTCGCGCGCAGACTCGCAACTCGCAATTTCAGTTTCGAAACACGCTAAAATGACTCACAACAGCTTCGCCTGCTCGTTAATTCGCCAGGCGCGTAAACGCGGGCGCGAATTCCAAAGTTGCACGGAAGTTTCGATACTTTCGCACCGAGTAATCTGGCGCTTGGTTGCGCCATCCCATCGTCGGTCGTCGTCGCCGACGACGACGACGAGATGGAAAATGAAGAGGTTTGTTACGCCTGCTATGTGGAATACCTTTCGGGTAGACGTAGCAGCAGTGGGATATCGTTAACGTGGCGGATACTATCAGCAGCAGCAGCAGGGCGTGCGTTATCGTTGTACGCGAGTGTCGTCGGCTGTCGCCCTTTCCTCCGCAAATCAAATCCGCCATCCGACAGCCCGCCGTCGCCGTTCGCGACGTGCAATTATTCATTCCGCTCCTTCGAGAGTGTCTCTCTCTCTGTCTCTCTTTCTCGCTCTCTTCCCCTTTCTGTTCTCTCTTCTCGTCGGAAAAGCGAAACGACGACCGCGCGATATCTGCGCGAGTTCGAATGGCACGGGAATTATTCCGCAGTCTCGTAGCACACGCACATGCATATGGCGAAACGGAGCAGATATGGAAATGGAAGGTGAATTTCTACGCTATACATATACGTGTACATGTATGTATGTGGATAGTAGCGGTGTCAATTAGGAACGGTAATTGGAAATTCAAATCGTGCGAGCCCCCGCCGAAGGATGTAAATTGTAAACGCTCGGTAAGAGCACCATTCGGATTATTAACGAGAAACTAATGATTCCTACGCTTATACCTTTTATTATCACTGTCATTATCGTTGACGAACGGCGTTTATCATTTGATCTAACTAGAATGGAATCGCTAGAATTTCAATGATATCTTGCATTTCATTGAAAATGTATAAAAGTAGAGTTGCACAAGACTTAAGGCAATATAATAAAGTAAAAGTATTATATTGGTGTTGAAAATTTTCGAAAATTTGAATCTTGTTTTGGTTTCCAGTAAAAGTTTCTTGTAGTAAAAATCTCATCTTGTGTTGTCTCGTCTTGTCTGATTTTAATAACAATTTTTATCTAACATTGAACAATTGCTTAAAATAATATATTTAAATTTTATATTATTTTTTATTGTATTAATTGTTTCTAAATTTATTAGTACAAGTATTTTTATTTATAATAAAGATTTTTAAATTCATATATAATATAATATAATTTTTCTAATTTATAAATATATTTTAGTTTCATTAAAAAATCAGCAATTTTGATACAATTATAATTATCTTGATAATTAATTAAAAATCTGGTATTGATCTTGTCTCAAATTTCGAGACAAGATAAGCCAATATCAAGATTAATTTATCTAGCCAGATATCATCTCTATAAAAAAGAATAATTCACGAATATATGTATTAAAGTTCATCGCCGATCAATTTTGTTCTGTGACGTTAAGCACGGATCTCTCACGTTAAATAATGTAAATAAAATAGTAATTAAATTTCACCGTCTATTTAATCTTTGGTTTTACGGGCGAGAAGGTTTTATTCGCGAGCGCGTTTTGTTTCCTCGCCTAATCAGTGATAGCGATGCAAAGCGCCGGAACGGCGTCATTACGGGGGTCGAAAGCCAGTAGCTGAGCCGGATGATTGATCGCGGCCTCGTTTGCATTCAATAACTCCCCGCCGGTGTATTTTCGATTTGGCATTCGCCGCAACCCGATTATCGTCGTTAATGCATTTAATTCGCCGATCAGTCGTCGCGCCGCTTCGAGCGATGCATTATTAATTATCGGTATGACAAACGCAATTAGCGGTCGCATATTTCGCGCGCGTATAGCGGCTATTTGAATTGCAAGTCGATTTACTTCTAATGTCCCATTTTTCTAATAGAGTAAATTTTCCCCCATAAATTTATAATTCGCGAATCGAGTAAAATATGAGAGGAGAGGTCAAGTTTTTTGTTGTATTAAATAATGTTGTGTTAAATAACGAGAAGCATTCATCTAACATACAGAGTCCTCTAATAAAATACACATGGATAACAAACAACAACTATAAGAAGCGGATAGCATTTTTAACATTAAAAATAGAAAGCATTTATAATATAAATCGCGAGATTTTAGTCACAGACTGGCTACATTTTTACAGGCTATGAGTGACGTGAATTGGTTACAAGAATCGGAAAGAAATGAATAAAATATTTCATCATGACAATATATCTAAAATGCGGTTTTATTGTCTCAACTTTTTATTTAAGTGGAATTCAGAATAGAATCCCATAAAATATATTGGATAAACTTCCGATATGCTAACGGAAGAAGGGAAAACTTTTAAGAGACACTTTTCGAGTGATATATCCATCTCACGCGCGAAGAATTAAATAATGAAAATATAGAAATCGGAAGACTTTGAAACATTTTAATAATCGCGTCCACTTTCCCAAACAAATATCAGAACGTACGGAACAAGATTAGATCCGAATTTAAATTGCAAGATAAAGTTAATGAGGTGACTCAAGAGGAGAAATGGACGTTGAAGTTACTAGAGTTTGGAAACTGAGCAGGTCCGTGGAAGTTTGGTCGGAAATTGAAGTTTTTACAAACCATAAAGGGAAATCCCGGACGAGACTCTTAACGACGGTCAAATATTCATCAAGTCCGTCAAGGACGTTAACAAATGAAACGTAACTATTTTCAGAGACGT